TCAAGGACTCGTGATGTGCTGAAGAAAGCCAGAACAAATTTAGAGGTAAGCAAAATCACCTTCATATCCAGTATATCATCATTCTGTGCATTCTCCACAGTATTATTATGTGTATAAGTACTTTGTGATGTCCCTGGTGTCTTTTTGATGTGAATTCATCACTTTCGGCTTTCTGCCTCACTTGTTCCTTCGTCCTGCGTTTGTCTCTCCTCTTTGAAACCCCCCAGAAGAATGAGCTGAGACTTTCCTCTCTAAGCTCCTCCTCTTCCTCTCCTTACGCTGGTAAATGTTTGACATCTTGTGATCTTGCAAACAGGTACATGTTGTCCCAGATGCAGTATGACTTTAGTAGTTTGAGGCCTATTGTTTAAACTGCAGGTCTTAAGGTCTGTGGTCTGGGGCAGCTTTTACCTCCGTGTGGTTTTGCTTTCTCTCACCATGCTGAAATCACTGCCTTGCCATCTCGTCACAGCCAACTGCATCCTGTAACTCACTGTTTATGACATTTCATGACATGACATTTCAGCTTTAATAATGTTTATTAGGGATGATTAAACATGAGAGGCTATCCTGAGTAGAAAAAACACATGGCTCCACGAAGCGCTTTATTTTACCGCGGTGTGTATTCACCTGATCTTAAAATCCCACCACAACGACTCAGCTGTTGTAATAGCTGTATTTTGCATTAAGAGGCCCTGAGTTGTTCCCACAACACTGACACCAAATTGCACACACCCCTCCACTCAGATAACACTGCACTAAAGTATTGTTTACTTCGACATGCCCCTGTATTAAAGTTGAGTCTATTCATAGCTTCTAACCCGACAGTTATCCCTGGAATAGCTGCACGCTGCATAGTTTCCATCCCGTGTGTGTGTGATGTCACAGCCTTGCTACAGGATGAATGCACAACAACATGTATGTGACCGCTTCAAAAACAAGGTTTCACTGCTACCCTTGAATATGATCGGTATCATGAACACCCAAACAGCACAGAGCACTGAGCAGTGTGTGTGTGTGTGTGTGTGTGTGGTGTGTGTGTGTGTGTGTGTGTGTGTGTGTGTGTGTGTGTGTGTGTGTGTGTGTGTGTGTGTGTGTGTGTGTGTGTGTGTGTGTGTGTGTGTGTGTGTGTGTGTGTGTGTGTGTGTGTGTGTGTGTGCGCGCGCGCATGTGTGTGTGTGTTTATTTTTTCTCTAATACCTAATTCTCAGCCTCTCATCTGCAAGTGATTGTTTTTTGGGATTTCTTTTTACGATGAACATTAACATAACAAAAACATTAGCAGTAAACTAGTTCTTGCTGTGATGTTACTTTGATTTAAAAGGAATCATTTAACATATTAATAAATATATGTATTATCTCTTTTTCATGAGAGGTAGTTGAGACAATTGATTCCACTATCATGTTTTATAGGTAAAACATGAAACTACCGCCAGGACACGATTAGCCTAGCTTAGCATAAAGTCTGGAAACAGTTAGCCCACACCGTCCGAAGATACCTGTACCCATAAAGCTTACTAATTAACACTTAATTGCATAGATCAGTGATCAAGGAATTGTCCAGCTAATAAGTGGTCTCCTGGCTCTAGCTTCATATTGGTTTACAGTGTGGTATTTTCTGATACAACTCTTGGCAAAATTGGTGTATGAGCTAAACTATTTCTTTAACATTTCACCTCGCACACAGTTTTCCTGTAACAGGAATGTTGAATAATAACTTGCATCCTGATTTCCCTCTCTCTTTCTGTCCATAAACCCAGATGAGGGCCCAGGAGGTTCTGCCAGAGAGCGGCCTGCTCATCGCAGTTTCCTGAAAATCAGCAGTGCTTCCGGAGCTGCAGCCAATCAACGTCCAGCAGCGAGGAAGCGCAGCAGCCAATGCCTGCTTTAGACTTTTAAAGAACCAGCCTCAACGCTACCACCTCTTACCTCTAACCTCTTATAGCCAAGATATAACACCCCCCAGCCTCTTTACAGCCCCCCGACACCAGCCTTTTTGTCCCACCAAGCCTCCGTCCCGCCATGAGAGTGCTTCCTCCCTCCTCCAGGCAATACGTGCGCAGTATAATCTGCACCTTGAGCCTTACCAAACTTCCTAAACCCCCAATTTTCTGACACTCTTCCCCTTCCCCCTCCATGTGTGATTGTCTTTGAGTGACACAGTTGGCAGTTTGCCTCGTCATGTGTGTGACAGAAGAAGGTGTTTGAAATGTGCCTCTGGTGGTTTAGTGACGTGCGTCCAACTGATGGAGCTGGTTGAAGATGCTCCTAGAAACTGATCTCAGAACAGGTGTCTGTTCTTAAACTGATTTTTGGTTTCATGGATTGTATTACAGAAACTTTCAGGATAATTAAACCTGATTTAGGCATTTTAAAATATAACATAACTTGCCAATTAAAACCATGAGTTTCCATAGTACACCCTGAGATCTGTATCTAAGAGCATCCTCTTTTGAGAGCCAGGCAGCCTGTGGACGGAAAAGATGTTCCTGCATGTTAAATCGTGGCTTGAGAGAGGAATTCTGTACACATGTACACACACATTTATATCTGTATGTGTGATCTAAAACGGCTCACTCAAAGACAACACTTCCTCAACTTCGACTGCCACAGAAATGCAAGTGTACTTCTCGTGGCGCTTTTAAGAACAAGGACTTTTTTTTTTTTTTGCAAATGCAATGCAAAGAACAATGACATCCACGATGTATCACTACACACAGTGGAGGAATGTAGAGGAGGTAGGCGATCGATGCGAAAAAAGTTGTGTACTAGCTGTACTGGTATTTGTGGAAGCTTCTGAATGCTAAGGGTTATGAATAGCAGAACAAAAGCCAGAAAAAGGTTCCATTTGAGTCACAAGCTATTTTAGGGTTCTAATGGTACGTTTTGGCATGTACCTACATTTGAAAAACGGAATACTTCAAAAACATGGGAGTAGATCGATCTGGTTGGTTGTGATTTCCTAAGCAAAATGTAGGATTGAAAACAAATTAACAACAGAGGTTAAAGTGCTGAAATGGAACCGGGCTAAACACGCGTATTCAAGCTCCTCAGTAGGAGTTCTCATACGAGCATGTGCAATAATGATGTTTCATGAATGATCATGCTGCACCGAGTTATTATTTAATATTTAGCTTGACACTGGATTATTAGTCACACTCTATATAACGTTAGGACACGCGTAGTGTTACGATTGTACTATTTACCAGAGTGTTGATGCATGACAGAGATTGTAAACACCTAAGCTATGGAACAGGGGATTGCCAATACTTGCCAAAGTTTAAACTTCTAACTTACAGTACTTTGACTTGCCTTATCCATGCGAATGACAAACCCAGGTCTGATCAGACCGCAGGGATACCGAGGTGTCTTCTTTTCAGAGAGCCTCCCGAACCACAGAGACGGTAACCGTTAGACAGATTGCTTAGTGTATTTCGAATTGTGTGACGGAAATTAGCTCCTTTTTTGGACCAAAACTCAACAGAGTGGATTTTTCCCACGTGGCCATATGCTATTGTCTTTATTTTATTTCTCTTGGTTCAGGCCGTCTCAGCATTCCCATGGCAATGGCAATATAGGTTATCAAGTTCTTATAGATGATGCAAACTTTGGCAGGCTACTGGTAGGACAATTGTTCTTTGATTCACTCACTCATAACAGTTCAAATTAAGTTTGATGTGTTCTTGCTGTACATTTGCCATTTTATGCTGTATATTACCTGCTGGTTCTGTTTAAACTTATGTGTGTGTGTGTGTATGTGTGTGTGTGTGCGCGCATGTGGGTTCCTGTGTGAGTGTGTGTGTGTGTTAAAAAACATCCAACATTTGCTTTTTGCAAAGTTGATTTTCTGGGTAGCTGTGCAATAGCTTTATATTATTTTGATGTTAAACATCATGGTATTACGAGTATGTTTGCTGCGTTGTTTGATTTATATGCATTGTGTCAATTTGTATCAATTAGTCACATAGGCTGTGTCTGATTAGAAACCACAAACTATGCCTTCATGATATCTAAGTCACTGATCACAATCATCACCTATAACAAAGCTCTGATAATGTTGCTTCGCTTGCCTTTATATTTAGCCTGAGAGCTGCAATCTGCTCTCAGCGGTCGAAATGAACTAGTGCTCGTCTACCTGAGATCTGCCAAATTAGGTTTTGTTTGCGCTCGAGTCTTAGGAAAAAGACTGAAGATGCCAAGTATTTTAATAGAGATAACAAGTTTGTTATTTCCTTTTTGAAATTTAAAGGGAAAGGTTTTGAAGAATTGTCTACTGTAAAAAGAAAAAGTCAGTGAAAGATTGTGAAACGTTGGATCCACAAAGCACCTTGTTGGAGCGTAAACAAAGCCTTTTTGCTATTTGTTATTAAGAAGGGAATCAAACAGCAGTTTGATGTTTTGTTGGTTCTGCGTTACGTGTGTATATAATGCTATTTGATTGGTGCAATTTTTATGTGGTTGGAAAGCAGCTTTTTCTGAGTTTGTGCATAAGGAACTAGGACACCGATACAGGACTTGTATAGATCCTGTCTCTGATGACAGTTAACCGTGTTGGAAAAAGTATTAGCAATGACAGATTTGGGGAAAGAATGAATAAAAAAAACACTTCAAAAAGTTTGTGTGGTTGACTTTTGGTTCTTGTTTTATATTAAATCCCCTTTAGCTTCTGCCTGGTAAATGTTTGGACCTTTATTCCTTAAAGAGTATCTGAGCAGGAAGACAACAGAATGATACACAGAGACCGTAAGCATGCCTTCATTTCAAGGTTATAGGGGCGTTCACACCAAGTACTTTTCCCACAATGTCAATTTGTCATTCTGGCTTTTGTAAAAAGAATATCTAAATGATTTCTCCAGAACCAAAAGCTGACAGGCATCAGGTCAAAAGCATACATTTTAAAGTATTGATATGGTACACATAAATAATCTTGTTTCATTAACCCAGAATACAGAATATGGCTTCTTACACTAGAAGAAGAAAAGAGTTAACTAGACAGAAACTATAGCGTGTCCTTTCTTTATTTGCAAACAAGTAAAACCTTGTACAGTGAATCATCACACTTGTTCTGCAAAGCTTTTTAAAAACATTCATGAAACGGTTGTAAAATTCAAGTTTTGGATTAAACGCCTCGTCCACGGCACTTGTCCACACTCCCTTATCGTGTCTGTAAGTCTTAAAAACTCTTCATGGCTAGGCTGAACATTCGCATAATACTTTTAGAGCATCTAGTTGAACACCAACAGGATTATGAAAGCCCCTTTTATTAGTCTGTATAGGGTAACAACTGTTAGGATACTGTACTTTAACTGCAGACAAACAGCATGACTTAACAAAAAACACTCTCAAAACCACCACAATTCAAAATATCTTAAATGGTTATCTGTTAAACACAGACAAGCAAACTTTGTACAACTTTAAATGTATGGCAAGTATCCAACCTCCTAGCCCTGTAAATACATCTGAAAGCGGTCAAACTGCTTCTGAATGTGCAGTGGATGTGTTGTATCCTCAAAATGTGCAGCCATTCGATACATGCAAACCATCAAGTTCAAACAGTTAGGTGTACACGGCTCTGTGTATGACTACACATGTAACAGACATATCCAATACATTCATAAATGATGAACAGAACTCAATACAGATGCACACACATATATAAAGCACTGTACGTCCATCAAATCTAAAGAAAGAAAAAAGCACATATTGGGTTGTACAATCCAGAGAAGCTACATTAAAGTAAAGAGTTGTCTGATGCGTATAGTTAAAAGCTTATATCAACACTCCTGCTCACAGGATGGTAAAGTGCTCGCAACATGTCAAGATAAAGGCAACAGCAGAACATAACCTTTGACCTCCACTCCCCATCAGGACAGTGGGCCATTGAAACAGACAAGTACTCATCTTTAGCGACCGTTACATTGACAAAACTGGTCTTGTTTATAGTTGAATTCACGTTGTAATTGCACTGAATAATGGTTAAATGCTGAGAAAGTCAATATAATGTAGCACATGTAACTACAACTGACAAAACAAGATGTTGTTCACTGGTTCCTCCCCATCCTATTCTTTATTATCATGTAAGAGGATACAGCAGCACGTTATTGCACTTTATGTTGAACTAATCTAAAGTCTGCTTTAGCACCTAGACACTGACCTATTCTCTACTGCATGCACCTTTCATAAACGCTGTCAAGTCAGTAGTTCAACACATTAAATCAGTTCAAGGAGGATATGATCACACAACACTTTGAAATCAAACTGTTACTCCACATCAAATCATTAAAATCACCAGTAAAGAAAGTGATGCTTCACAGATCTCCCTCCTTGTTTAACACGGACATGCATATATTCACAATGTGCAGCAAACACTCTATACACACAGTGATTTAGTCAGTCTCTGATCTGTCTGTAGAGTCGCAGGTAAAAGCCAGTGTATGTTTCCTCCTCTCTCTGAAGCCCTTCACACACACTAACTGTGTTCAGAGCCCTATGTAGACAGAAGTGCAGCTTTTTTTAAACACCAAGCCCCAGCTGCTGGCCTTCGCTCACCTGTAAACCTGTTTCAGTGCAAGGTTTGGCTAAATGTGATGAAACGGGGAATAAACAGCAGAATACAGACATGCTGCTCTCTAAAAGCACTGTGGAGCAATCAAGTTCAGGTTTAGATAGGCTTGTAGAGCAGAGAGGTGACGTATTTCTTCTTGTATCTGTGAGTAGCACTCAGCACCATTACTCCGTCCTGCAGACAGAAACACAGAAATACCGGCGGTGAAATAAACATCAGATGCTCCAGTTTGTGGAACTGCCAACTGGTCTATTCAGCATTAAAAAATACATACAAAAATACATTAAATGGTCATGAAAACAAGTATTTATTCAGTACTTTGCATGATTAGCATATTTAATACAACCATTCTGAACACGTGTGGTTGCTTTAGGAGTATACAACGTTTTCAAGGCTCAAATCCTTTGATTCTTTGTCAAAGAAACACAGTTTGACATGAAGGTTTGTTTCCACATTTGCTGGCTAAATATCTGCAAAAACTAAAAAACTAAAAAACTAAATAGGTCATGCAATTGATTCATGTTGAAAAAGAAAATTGAGATAAAATGTCATATCGATAGAGTTTTATAGCAACTCTGACAAACTTCTTGTGAGGTGAGGGGGATTTAAACCGCCTTAAGAGTTTTTTTTAGCCAATCACAACTTGTTAATCCACACTTTTTTTAAATTAGAATCAAAAACGTATATAATTAAGAACCTGACTTGGAAATGGAAAATGCTCTTGGGGAAAATGTGTATTGGATATGGTGCCAGTAACATCTGGACACATATGAGGAGTAGTTAAGCTGTTTGTGGGGAACCTACCTTAATGGAGAGAGCGTAAAGATGGTTGAGCATGACGTGGTTGGGTTCCGGCAGCAGGGCGGGGTCACACTGCAGAGAGAGAGAACATAAGGGTGAGGGTCCGAACAACAACAAGGTAAATCACATCGAGGTGTAAGCAGACTACAGTGGTATAGAAAGATAGGGCACTGACCGATATATTGGTGTCCTTGTTGAGTATGACTTGGAGGAGGTGGGGGGGGAGAATAGGGGGGGCTTTGAAGTGCTCCTCCGGTCTGAAGACGTACTGCTCCTGGCCGTAAGGACCTGGAGGGGAGCTGGACAGATCTGCAAACAAACACAGTTATTATAACTCTGCTGACAGGGCATCAGAGGCTAGGCTAAACTGTCCATAGTTCATTTTTAACCAGATTTAACTGTAGTGCGAGTACATCGAGGACATAAGCAGACCTGAGTCGGAGCTATCCAGAGAGTCGACATGCAGCGCGTCAAACACCTCAAAGTCAGACTTCTTCACCTGGATCAGGTTGTTGATGGTGCCCAGCTGACTGGTTACAACCGTCTGTGAAAGAGAAATGTTTCAAGAAGGTAATGATTAAGAATTTTTGTAATTATTATTATTTTACACTTAAACAAGACCTTTGAGCGATGGCTGTATGGTTGTTCTCAGAAAAACCAAGTCTAACGTTGCCATTTCGTAATAAATGATTTAACAGTACTAATTCCAAAAACAGCTAAATCTAGTGAGAAATACGCCAGCTTGGGGCTCAAAGCTTGACCTTCAGGCCTTCCTCTAAAGCCACTCCCCAAAATCACTTCTCAAAATGATCAATATGAACGCAAACCACAAACATTGCTATTGTTAGATGATATAGCATGGGGTAAGGACAATGCACTATGCATGCGACCCCCTACCACAGATACCAGGTTGATTTCTGGACTTTTGTCAGAGCATTCGATTTATTGGTTTCCATTGTTATATAAAGATTATTTAAATCAAAACGTTTCGAAAATACATGATCTAACGTAACTTTAAGGGAACAACTTTTAATGACATGACAATAAAATAAAAATGACACTGATGTACCTCTGAGGGATCATGAACCCACTGTCCATCTACAAAGAACTTGTACTGGTGCTCTCCTTCAGGCAGGTCCAGGATGGCTACGAAGTCATTATGGCTTTGGAGAAAAGAAAAAAAGAAAGTGTTTTAGTGCAGATGTGGTCGTTCCTCTGACCTAAGAATGCACTCAAATTTAAAGCAAGCTGCAGACCACAAGAAAACATGTTTACCTCTTATTGAGCGGTATCTTTGTGCCCCAGTTATTAAAGGAACCGGCTATGTAGACCTCCTTTCCCCCCCCAGCCCAGCGGATGACTGTGGGTCGAGCCTGAGGACCCGTTTTCACCTGGTCAGTGGGATCGGCTTCTTTCTCTCCTAACGGCTAAAAAAACATTGATTGATGTGTCAACTTTAATATATAAAAATGGCACAGAAATCTGAAAGGTATTCCTCGAGAGTACAGCAGTACCTTGGTCTCTGGCCCGTGGGTGTTGAAGATGTTGGGGTCGTCGGTGCTGTCCACCATCTTGCCGCTGTGCTCTTGGTCTTTGGGGCTGCCGCTGCTGTCGGAGCGTTGGGCCTTGGCTCCATGGCGATCTCCAGTCACCCGGTCACTAGTGTTTCCCATGATAACTCTCTATTTATGGTGCTCCTGGAAAGAAAACAGAGACTACTGTTCCTTTATAAGCTCTGTAAATGCAATAGGGAGCAACCACAATGTGAACTGGCTATTAGTAAATATTAATAATTCATAAAGGCTGAAGAACCATTATATATTTTGTTATGCACTTACTTGCTTAAAGGGCCCATGTCATGCTTTTCCGGTTATTACCCATCCCCTTGTGTGTTATGAAGGTTTTTATGCATGTAAACGGTCTGCAGAGTCAAAAACCCTCAAAGTACACCCTGTAGCGAGTAAAACTCTAACACAGAAAAGACCTGTCTATGCTGCCCCAGAACGCCTCGTTGGAGATTTCTAATTTTCCATTGTTTGCTTCCTGGGTTCTGTGATGTGTGAACACCCAAATCAACAACAAATGACCGGATTGGCCCAAATGGACCAATCCGCGGAGCACCTCACACACCAGTATCCCTTGGCTAACTAACAGGGAGTCTCCATTGACTTGCATAGAGCTCCCTGAACGCTGGTAATAGACGAGTTGGGATCGCGGAGAAATGCTCTCCGCAGACCCATTCTCACAGCGTTATAAACCTTTTTCTTACTCAATATCAAGCCACACGTATTGTTTTTACTTCGGCTGTGAGTGTTTGTGTGTGCTCAGGATGAGTTTCGCTTGTTCTCGCTGTATCGCCGACCCGGAAACCTGTCCGCTCCTCGCAGCAGCTCGCAACAGCGGCGAGCAGCAACGAGCCTCGCAAGGTCCCGACCAAACAGAGCACACTGGGCTCACAGGGAGGGGGGGGGCAGGAGCTCCAACAATCCGTTTAGGACAGAGAGTGAATACCTGGTGAATACACATACTATACAGAGATGCTGTATGAGAAACCAATGTGATTTTGGAAAATTTCACAATTTAAATCTATTCTAGTATACCTCAACAATGGAAATATGATCAGTAGAAATGGCCATGACATGGGACCTTTAATGTTAGACCAAAGCCATCACTGAAATGTGGTTCACCTTTAGCAGCTTTCACATTACAATAATGCTAATGTGTTAAAGTATCAGTTATATATTGGTCTCTCTGAAAGGGATTCTGTCGAACAAGTACCTTTCATTTACTTTAAATTATGACGCTAATACAGGGGTGTCCAAACTACAGCCTGGCTGCCAACTGTAGCCCGTCCATTTTTAACTGGCCCTCAGTTTATTCTAAAAGTATAATGGAATAAGGCCCACACCTGTAACTTGCACTTGACTTATAATGTTCTTCTTAAATATATGTACAAATATATGACAAAATATTCATGTGTTAGAAAGCCCATTTTTTTTTTTTTAAATGTAGTCAATTCAAGTTGATAACATTATCTAACAAATGTCTTAGTTGATAATCAAAAAAGCCCAATAACTTATTTGCATAACAAGCTAGAAATATACCCTTCCTATTTCTCCTTATTGTCTCCCCATGGCTGTTGTGTATTCTTTAAGCATATTCAATTATCAAGAACAATTAACCTGCATTTGATTGATTTTGCTAACCTATAACTATTAGCAATATACCTCACTTATAGTGAGGGGCCCAGCCTTTCGTATATGTTTCTGAATGTGGCCCTCAGTTAAAAAAAGCTGGACACCCCTATGCTAATACATTTGTACTTTTACTTAGGAAATCTTTTTGAATGCATGAATTGTAACATAGTACTTGTACACCGTGGTATGCTTTTCCAGTACTTCTCACATGATGCTAAAGGGCTTTCCAGAAAGGCTAAAAGGCTTATTGGAAAGTTGGACAGCTTCATACATAAGCGTGTGACTGGCACTGTCTGTGAACCTAAACCTGCCACAACACATCAGACTGCATCCAGTCAGATATAACAGCACCGCCCACTAGCTACTTAGCAAGCAACAAGTTATAACTTCCAAAATGTTAATATACAAGTTGGCCATGAATCAGAGCAGTAAGCCCCCATAGCATGCTAGCTGTAACCTAGCAGCGTGTCCCCTCTGCTGGTTCAGCTGTGCCCACCTCTGGTCACTTCGGCAGGGGAATATTTGTAGCTTACAGTTAGCTAGCTGCTAGCTGTCACTTTATAACAATTAGCTTACATCGCCGTATGTCTTACTTACAACATCAGTGTCGATTATGACAAGGCGACAAAAACTTTACCATGTAGTTACGATTGAGCGAATAAACTTACCAGTACCAGCTGATGTTTATTTTTAGTCTGTTTTCAGCGCAGGGGCAACCTCTTTACAACGACTGCAGCTCGGTGGAGCACCAGCTACAGTGTGCGGCTAGGGACAAATGCATGCTGCGTTCATGTAGATAAGAATACTCGGAAAAATGAGTTCCCCACTAGCAACATAGTAATTAGTGTACATCAGGTCGATAGACTGCTCGTACTGTTGATGGCGAGATGAAGCCTTATGAAGCTTTGAAGCTTTCCAGCCAATTGGTTCGCAAAAGGGTTCATCTCATGAGGCTTCATGGTGAGTGTATGTTTTGGTCATTGGATTTTCTTTTCACAAATGGATATTCAAAAACAAAAAACGACTGGATATTTAATTTTCGTTTTAAAATTCAAAAACCAAAATTGAAATACAAGGAGTTTTTCTTTATCATGGTCAAAAATGGATTTACTAAACTTAAAGGGGACCTATCATGCAAAATGCACTTTTGTACATCTTTTACACATGAATATGTGTCCCCGGTGTGTCAGGGAACTCACCAAGTGTCAGAAAACACAACCCTCTCTCTTTTCCTCCATACCCAAATCTCTAAAAACGGGGCTGCAACGGATCTGATACAGACTGATACAGATTTGAAATTTCTCTGACGTCAGGAACGAGGTAGAGATGGGCAAGTCCTGATTCATCCGGATCATTAACCCGGATCCTAGAAATGAGCTGGTCGTGACGAGTCTCCCCTCTCCATTAACCCGAGTCCTTGAGTCCCACACTTGGTGTGACGTACAAATTAAAACTATAAATTGCGTCACTCGCTACTCTCTTTATAACATGTAAAATCACATTACAACGTACCCCAGTCCATCTGCCTACCCTTTAGCAAGTATACAGGATAGCTGCCTGCCAGAAGTTATCGTTTGGCTCAGAGGAGGGGACACGGATCAGTGAAACTTCCTGCAGACTCGTGGGGACTCAGAGGAGCCGGCGGCTCCTAACCGTAACGCAGCCTACACACGGCGGCGTGCGTTGCCGCTTGGCGGTGGGCGTGTCTTAAGCTTGGGGAGTTTACGCGAGCAACGCGACCAACAACCAATCACATGAATCTCCCGTGTCTCTCCCCAAGGGCTGGAAAATGGAAGAAGTGACCAGAAAGTCGGGTTTGTCAGCTGGAAAAAGCGATGTCTATTATTTTAGGTACTAAACGAACGGGGGCTTGCAAAACCTTTAGCTGCTGCAGGACACAAGAGTTTGCGGAAACAAGACAGGAGTTGATCATTGGAAGGGGGGGTCTGTGTAAAGTTTGTGATGGGAAGGGGGGGGGTTCTGTTTGCAGCGAGGTAAAAAGGCTTTAAAAAGGCTCCCGTGTATGAATCTCACCATAGACATTAATGTCTAAAAAGCGATTTTTAATTAATGTCTATGGTGCTATTTTATGCAACATTGCATGGTGGCTAAATATACTGTCTATGCCTGCTGTCCATTCAAACGAAGTACACTGGATATAAACTCCCCAAACAGGCGAAAACCTACCAGTTTCACCCACTGTCTCTGCCACCTCCCTCCATGCCTGGCTCCTCCGGTTTGTATCCCGGTAGGTGAACAGGGACTGAAAGCACCGGGTGATTCCCTACCGCTACGATTATTTTCTCCTCCATTTTTTGGCATATGAGGAAATGAACTGCGGTCTGGCTCTCTCAGCATACACGCAGTTTGATTGGCTAGCGCTTGTACTGGCAGATTTGCATACGCGGGATTTGATTGGCTGACGCCTCCGCCTCAGCTTCAAAAGTAGAACATTGCTCTACTTTTGCAGCGAGCACCGCGAGAAAAGCTACGCTTTGCTCCCAGAATGCAGTTCGGCGAATCGTGACGTCACCCCATTCAAAGTGAATGGGCAGAAGCGTTGAAGCGTCAACGCACGCCGCCGTGTGTAGGGGCCGTAACGGACCGTCCACACAGCAGCGTTAAAAAAATCTTGGAGGTGGGCGTATCTGAAGCTTGGGGATTTTTTGCAAGCAAGGCACCAACAACCAATCACATGAATCTCCCGCCCCCGACATACGAAGCAAAAAAGTTTGAAGTAAACTGGATATAAACTCCCCAAACAGGCGAAAACATACCACTGTCTCTGCCACCTCCCTCCATGCCTGGCTCCTCCGGTTTATATCCCGGTAGGTAAATAGGGACTGGTCATAAAGCACCGGGTGATTCCCTACCGCTAATTTCTCCTCCATTTTTTGGAATATGAGGAAATGACCTGCGGTATGTCTCTCCCAGCATACACGCCGTTTGATTGGCTAGAGCTTGAACTGTCAGATTTGCGTACACAGGATTTGATTGGCTGACGCTTCCACCTCAGCCTCAAAAGTTGAACATTGTTCAACTTTGAATCCTAAAAATCCTGAAAATCTCCGCTCGCCTGCCCACAATGCAGTTCGGCGAAAAGTGAGGGAAAGTGACGTCACCCCATTCAAAGTGAATGGGCAGAAGCGTTTCAAGATTTTTTAACGCTGCTGTGTGGACGGTCCGTAATAGCATAGCAGATCCAGCGATCCATACTCGTCATGTGCATGAGCATAGCCCCTCCTCCAGCACCCGGCTCCCGCGCTATATTATGCACGAGTCAACAGCAGACTCGCAGATTCGCAAATCCTGACTCGCTGTGCAACACACAGCAGAGCAGACTCGTGCGGACTCGGAGCCGTATATAGCAGCAGATCCAGAGATCCAGCAGACTCGTCCTCATGCACGAGTCAACAGCAGACTCAGATTTGCCAAATCGCAAAATAACCCTTTTTTTTGTGATCAACATTTTTTATTAAAGCAAAATACACTGTGTAGCGGAGGTTAATATAACGTCAGTTTAATAGATAGATAGATAGATAGATAGTACTTTATTGATCCCAAATTGGGAAATTGTTGTTGTTACAGCAGCATAAAAGGCATTTTACAATAAAACAAAACTACAAAATATACAAGAATAGAAATAAAAATAAAATATAAAATATACATGTCGAAATAGAAAATATACATGTAGATATTATATATATATTCAAAATATATGGAATAATAATATGCTCGTGAAATGCAACAACTTTTCGGTTTCACCGATAGGATTTCTACGGTCTTGGTGATGCTGACTCATATGACTCAAATGACTCGTATGATCCGGATCTCTTCAATGACTGACTCAGAAGACCCTGAGTCCGTAAAAGGATCCGGATTTGCCATCTCTAGAACGAGGAGCTCCGCCTATATGGCCAACTCTCCACCTATCAGGGGAATGAGAGGTTGCCGTGGCATGTAACAGCATGGTAACATGACGCTCGTGCCTCGCCCCCCTCCTTTGCAGGGGGGCATGGTCAGCTGCAGCTCATGCAAAGACAGGGCTGGAGGAGAGCAAATAGAGCGAAATGAGGCATGGCTAAAATGCATGATCTGTTTGGTATTTTGAAAAAAAAAAGTATAAATATACCTTATATAGGTATGGCCCTACATTATATTATTCAAATATAGCATGATAGGTCCACTTTAAAAAACGGGATGATTTTCATTTTCTACTTCTCAAAACAAAAAATAAAATCACTAGAAAACAGAAACAAATAAACTACCGTTTTTTCATATTCTGCTACCGGAAGTTACCTTACAAAATAAGAGCGCAGATGAGGACGGTCAATCTGTGTATCTAACGGTCCATTTGTTTTCACAACGAAAACAGCCAAGACACATATTGAGCCCAGAAAATGAATGTTATTAAGGGCTGTAAATATAATAGGCCTATGTCTAAAATGGACAACATTGTTAGGAGATTTAAACTATACAGCAATTCTGCACTGCGGTCAACTCAGCCGTCTCTCGAGTTTGTTATTATTTTTTCTGCCATTAGTTCTTCATGAGATTGACACTGTTGGACTCAATGGCTCTCTAGATAAAGGGCATTTTATGGTTGCTTGTATTATCCTCAGATAGTGGTTTGTTTTAATAAATATTGCAAAGAAGGGCTCCAAAAAAGGCATATATATATATATAACCTGGCCGGCTTAACCAGTGTGCATTTCTTCAAGCACCACATGATTCATAGTTTATAAAGTACAATTCTGGGCCATTGATTGTGTCATTTCTCCAAACACATACAGTAAAAATGCCTGTTTTGAAGCCTTCAAATGGTGCAGGAAAAGGACTTTACATTGTATTATACTTAAAGACAGGACTATTCAGTTAAGAGAAGAGAAAAAAGGAAAGAAAACTGTTATAATGGGTGATGTAACATTAATGACAGACATAATATGAGGTCCTTGGCACTCAGACTCTAGAGGGGTCATTTTGTGATCATGGGGCATCACCCTTGTATACAGCATCAGGACAATATCATATGGAGTCAGACACTGGAAGTGTTTTGGAGGCATTGACTGGGACTGATGGAAGGATGAGGCTGATGAGACTGAAAAATCTGCGAGGAACAAATTAGCGTCAGAGGAATAGTTATATATTAAAAGACAGCAGCATCATAAGAGGGCAACCATGTGACAGAGTTTGTCAATGTGCTGAAGGATATTTGTGACCCGCTATCAGGCCAGTCTCTAAAGACTTTCCAAGGTGTAAAAATGCTGCTGCCGGAGTACTGACTGGAAGTATTGCTGATATCATGTCTACCATCCTCTTAAAATACTCTGTCCAACAATATCAGTCTCAGGAAGAAAGGGTTTTTAACGCTTAATAAAAGAAAAACATGCATTCTTGTACTCGGGAGGGGACATTGACAGAGGATTACTGGAAAAGTACACAGTAAGTACTTCATAGTACTTGTGGGGGTAGTTTCAGTATTACTGAGTCCAACAGGATCAATCTCACGAAGAACTAATGGCAACAAAAAAGAATTCCCTCATCAAACTTAGCAGAAGTGGCTTGATTTTGTTCTCAGCAGGGGACTTTGACAGAGGATTTCTCAAAAAGTACACAGTAAACTTACTTCAATGTATTGTTAGTAGTAGGCTAACTAATACAAAGTCAAACAGTATCAATTTCATTAAGAACTAATGGTAAAATTGTCTTTTTATCATTCACCCAAGTTCCCATCAGCAAAAACACGTCGGTTTGCTATCCTGGCTCCAAAATGGTGGAATGAGCTCCCCATTGAAATCAGGACAGCAGAAAGCCTACACATCTTACGGCGCAGACTGAAAACACACCTCTTTCGACTCCACTTCGAGCGATAGAATTACTAACAAAGAATTTCTAACAAAGCACTTATATACTAATAAAGGACTGGCTTATCTAAAGCCAGTTGAGTAGCACTTGAAATGTTTTGGCTCTATGAAACCTGATGTACTTATATGATTCTGTTTTCTTCAAGTTTGTATCTTCTTGGTCGAATGCACTTATTGTAAGTCGCTTTGGATAAAAGCGTCAGCTAAATGCAATGTAATGTAATGTAATGTAATTCATCAAAGATAGCAGATAAACATGCATGATGTACTATTTGACAGAGGATTACTCACAAAGTACACAGTAAAAGTACTTAATTTCATTTCTGGTAGCAGTCAAACTAGTACCGAGTCCAACAGTGTCAGTTTTATTAAGAACTTGTGGTAAAAAATATTTGTATCACTCATTGAATATAGCAGAGCTCTGTCCCACTTGTGGCACAAACATACTCTTGAGTTTTTTTACCACAAGTTCTTAATAAAACTAACACTGTTGGACTCGGTACTAGTTTGACTGCGACTGCTACCAGAAATGAAATTAAGTACTTTTACTGTGTACTTTTTGAGCAATCCTCTGTCAAAGTCCCCTCCATAGTAGCCTACATAATGCATGTTTATCTGCTATCTTTGATGAGTGATAAAAAGACAATTTTACCATTAGTTCTTAATGAAATTGATACTGTTTGACTTTGTATTAGCTAGCCTACGCTACTACTAACAATACATTGAAGTAATTTTACTGTGTACTTTTTGAGTAATCCTCTGTCAAATTCCCCTGCTGAGAACAAAATCAAGCCACTTCTGCTCTAGTATGTTTGTGTGGGACAATGTGGGACATGTAAATGCAATGTCGACGCGTGAACTGTCAACGGGGGGTGGAGAGACACTATGGACGCTCGTGAACTGTCCGCGGGGGGGGGGGGGGGGGGGGGGGGGACATCTGGTCACCCTAGACGGCTGGGTTGACCGCAGTGCAGAATCGCCGTAGGCTTTATAGTTACTTTAAATCTCCTAACAATGTTGTCCATTTTAGACATACAGTAGGCCTATTATATTTACAGCCCTTAATAACATTCATTTTCTGGGCTCAATATGTGTCTTGGCTGTTTTCGTTGTGAAAACAAATGGACTGTTAGATACACAGGGTGTTTCTCAATCGCGAGTAAAGCTGCTTCAGAGCCACTATTTCAAGCATACTACGTCATCGAGTGCCGCCGAAGTACTGTTCCAATCTCCAGCATACTTGGAAATCTACCGAGCCCGGCGTACTCCGTTTGGAGAAATATCGAGTGTGCACATGAGTAGACTTCGCGGTGTTAAAATCCCCACAATGCTTTGCGCACGGACCAATTTCCCCAAATCTGTGGCGGAAGATGTAAGGCGGGGCCTCTCATATGACGCACACCTGCACACTTGCTAGCGTGTTCCTCTCTTTGTTTTCCGAATGTCAGGAAGTATTCTTGACTCGCTTCTGAAGCAAGATGCTCGGCAGACATGTGTTACCAAGCAAGCGTACTCGCGATTGAGAAACACCCACAGATTGACCGTCCTCATCTGCGCTCTTATTTTGTAAGGTAACTTCCGGTAGCAGAATATGAAAAAACGGTAGTTTATTTGTTTCTGTTTTCTATTGATTTAATGTTTTGTTTTGAGAAGTAGAAAATGAAAATCATCCCGTTTTTTAAGTTTAGTAAATCCATTTTTGACCATGATAAAGAAAAACGCCTTGTATTTCAATTTTGGTTTTTCAATTTTAAAACGAAAATCAAATAGGCCTATCCAGCGCCATATAGATAGATAGATATTCTATTATACGGCTCTGGGCCTATCCAGTCGTTTTTTGTTTTTGAATATCCATTTTTTTAAAGAAAATCCAACCTAACCTAACCCTTCATCATGGGCTTCATTTGAACACAAACCCCCCTGTTGGTCAAAGTGTGTAAAACAGGCAGATTTGACATCTCAACAGTGTGCTCTATCTCCTACCGAGTTCCCAATGAGTAAAGCCTTAGAATAACTCTGAACAACCAACATAAAATCACATTTTCATGTTAACAATATTGTATTTATTCCAGTTTAATGATTGTGATTGAAAAGCCTAAGGAGGCTGGTAAACATTGCAAAGAGGGATTTGTATTCCTTAATAATATTCGTAAACTTAACCATGTTGTAGCCTGAGAAAGGCTAAACCATATAAAAGAATACATTTATTAACTACATTATCTCATTTAGCTGTAGCTTTTATAAACAAAACAAAAGACTTATTGACCAGTCGTTGAACCAGGGACCTTGCGGTTGTAAGTCAACTGCTTTCCAGCTGAGTGAACTGTCACCGCCCAGAGCCTCAACGCTGCGGGGAAACGGTGTCCCGAACGTCCCGATGGCCAGTCCGCCCCTGCATCCATGGGTAATATGAGCGTTGTGGTTCAACCGATCTAAAGCACTTTCTGAAGCAGTCACGTGGTATTGAGGGGCAGCGAGGCTTCGTTTGTCATCGGTGACGTCACTGGCCCAAAACGATCAGTCTGACAGGAGAGGACTCTCCTCCAGGAGTTGTTGTAGAAACAACTCCTTATGTACGTTAGCATAGCTAGCTAACCAGATGCTAACAACCGGAGCGGCGCTCCGGCAGCACTACACCCCTGGTTCTAAGGGACATGTTGATGTCGTGATGGGTTGACACTGACAGCATGTCGAGGATAACATCGTATGTATATCCTTCGTTCAAATATTCCCTTAAGATTTCCATCTCTTCTTCCATTCTTTCCAACTCAGTTTAAAATTCGTGAAGAAACAGCTGAACAGTACCAAACAGGAAATACGTGGTGCTGTCGGCCGGGTGCCGACCAATCACGAAGCGTAATTTCTTGACTGGCAACAAAAACAACCAATCACAGCAGTGCTTCTCTGGCTGGCTCTGTCCAATCACAAACAAGAAGTGTTCTCCCTAAAGGAATACCCTTTCCGTAAAATGTGAAATGCTGTAGCGTTTTCTGAAATGCTGTAGTGTTTTTTGAAATGTCGTTATGTTTTATGAAATGTTGAAGTGTTTTGTGAAATGTTGTTTTGACTTGCACTTCAGGGCCACCGTAGAAGTGACACAGGACAAAACATACTCCTAGCAAGTATTTCAATCACAACGTCCAGTTATTACTATTTTAAATTGTTACCATGCATCGTTGTAGTACCCATCATAACAGTTCATAAATGCATTGTGTATAAGTATATATAGTAAATTCACATATATTAATGCCAGAAAGTTCACATTGTGTGGCTGTAAGGCACATTTAAACTATCTCTCAAATCACACACAGATTTAGTTATTTTCACAAGATGCATTGTCTTCATGCTCAGTGTTCCAGTGTTAACAGGTTATTGATTTTTCAGCTGACTGGAGGCACTCTATAGGCAGGTGTTTACAACTTATAGAAGTTGTAAATGACCCCTAAAGGCTGTGGACTTAAACATTTAAAGTGGCGTAGTGTCATTTTACCATTATAAAAGACAATTATGTCTGCTGTTAAGCCTCATTGAATAAGCTCCAGCTTCTCTGAAGAAAATATTTATTTTGTTATCAAAAAGCACCACATTGTGTCCCATTGATATTCCATTTTGATCAGGCATTCCATTTAAAGAGTAACAGTACAATGAATTTGCTAACTGAAGATGCGTTGTTTTTGTTTGCGTTGATGCTAATGTTATGTATGTATCAATTACGTTACGTTTTTTATGTGTGAAATATTCTTTTGGACAGTGTACATACTTAGGGAGTGCATTATGTGTAACATTCGAATAATAATTAAAGCATGCTCAGCACAAACGATACATGCTTTAGCTAATTATAGACCACCATTAGGATACATACAGTTTTCCATCCGCTGAACTCCTGTTCCAGCTCGCGGAAGTCATGCTCTGTATGTCTGTCTGTATTTCTGGAGTTATTACAGTCATTTTCAAGTCCAATAATTAAGTTAATGTTCTTTTTTCATTGGCTTCCAGGGTCATTTGGAAATTCCTAAGCCAGTCTTCATGTACTCGTAAACAACATAGCTGATGCTGACAGCAGGAATTACTTTCATGAAGTTTGGCAGGATGCCTCGGTAGAGTCCAAAAAAGCCGTCTTTGGCTACGATCTTCTTCATCAGATTGCTCATGGAGGGCTGGTCTGTTGTATCCAGAGACGCTGCAGAGAAAAAGGTAAGTTAGGGAGGCGGTGCTGCATCTGAAAGATTTTTACTCTGGTGCTGTATGCTAAAAGATAGCCCACTTATTATGTGACTTATAACTCAAGTGTATGTGACCAGAATATATTGGGTGCCTTCACAGAGTTTGGTCAGCACATTAACAACGCAATAATTATGAAAAGTATAATGCACTGTGTAATTACGTAAGGCTGAAAAGATGAATGGAAATATATCGAATTTGCAATATGGACAAATGCAGTATTTTAATCCGAGGGTGCGCAATATTATTATTTATCATAAGACAAAATATGAGTGAAAATAAATTAAGTATTGTGGTGCTGGGGAGATGTTCCACCCTAACAAACTGATTATTCTACTGTACTTATAAAAAACTATATGTTTGATACAGATCCTTGCAGAAAATCTCACCAACAAGTAGTTTATTTTTAAGAAAATGTATGCAAAAATTAGCATTCCCTCCAATACCGTGGACCATATCGCAATTGCAAGATCAGTCATAAATCACAATTATATATTCTTACAAATTGTAAAGACCTAAATGATGTGCTATATAGGTTTTGTCGTCACGGTCATCAAATGCAGATGAGTTTACCTTGTGCCTGCATCCGTGTGCGCACCAGTGCGAGGGGATAGCTGGCCAGCTGTCCGCAGGTGCTGGAGATGGTGCCGCAGGCCACCAGCACCAGAACTCCAGGGTTAGCTGAGTCTTTGGTGTGATGCGTCAACCACGTGTTCTTTAGAGTCTGAAACACAGTAAAGAGATGAATTGAAAACCATCAGCATAGAACTCCACAATTACTTTATAATATAAGATGAACTGGTGCATATAATTAAATTAATTAAACAAAGTGCACTCACTAACACACTGTTTTGAAATATCACAAAGGAGAAAAATAAATCACAAATCCTGCATACCTCATAAACAGCGAGGTCTATCCCAGCGTAGGGGATTATGCCCACTAAGTTTGGGACGTAGCCCTTGTAGAAAGCCATGATTCCCTCCTTCCTCAGGATCTTCTTGGCACAATCAAACATTCCTGTATATTGGCCAGTTTTCCCAAGGGTCAGTCTAGTTTTCAATACCTTAGACAGAGAAATCACGAAAGAATAAAAACTTTGGAATATTCTTTTTTTATTTCTGTGGTATTTTCAAGTTTTGGTGAAAAGCTGTCTCACCTCCATGGGGTAGATGGATGTCTGTGCGGTGGCTCCGGCCAGAGAGCCAGCTACAAACCTCTTGTGTGTCGCAATCTTCTGGCCCTCTGATGACAACAACTTCTTATACTACAGAACACATTTAAATGGAAAAAAATAAAGGATTTTTATAAATATTTATAATGTTATAAAACTGTGATGAATACCATCAAAATATATATATGGTAAATTGAATTTGCATTTTAGAGCTTACTTGTTCATATGCCATGAATTTGATAGCTGTCTCTGGTGCGATCTTTAAAACATTGGTCCCATTTCCCCTCCACAGTGAGGACAGACCTCCCTCTTTGATCATCCGACTGAAGCCCCCCACCAGGCTTATGGGGTTAGTCTTAGAAGAATGAACCTGCAGAACAAATATATGAGGTTACATATATTTCCCCTAGGCGAAATATACATTTGTCAAATGTTCTTTAATATATTTCACCTGCATGAAGACCTTCATTCTGTCCAGAGGGGCAGTCCCAGTGCGAGAGATGGCCCCTGCCACGGCCCCCGCAGCAAGCTGCTTCCACCATCGACCTGAGCTCTTCTCCTCCTCTGTGAACTCATCTGGGATGGCAAGACTGTCCCCTATGTCCAGCACCTAGTTAAACACATCTGCTGAAATCACTTTGGGTTGTCAGCTTATGGCCATAACAAATAGAGTAAAAAGTTTCTTATATTATTATTTTGGCCTTGAGATTGTTTCTCTTTCAGGAAGGGCACATGTCACATAAGCTTGGGTGGTTGTCAATGTGACAAAAAAAACGTAAAATGCCTACAAGCACTTCTCCTTTTGAGGTCTATTGTCTCAGTGATGCAGCAATCGTTTTTACATGCTTGCCAAATAACCTATACACTGGAGAAGGAAGTATTTGCAGAACTTGAATGTTAGGTTTCACCATGGAAGTTAACACACTAAAAGCATACAATGCTTATTTTCTTTGACTTTTGGCTCAACTTGTTAAAGGTGGGGTAGGTAATTTTGGAGAAACCAGCTTGAGTGTGCTAGAATTTGAAAATACACAGCCGGAAAAAATCTCCCACTTCCTTACAGAGCCCCTCCTCCAACACACACAAACGCGCACATGACCAATGAGGGCACGAGATAAGTTTGTGCACAGATGGAAGGCTGACAGGCAGGTAGGCCATCCAGTTATTTTAGCCGGGCCGGATTTTGGAAATTGGTCCGTGCGCAAAGCATTGTGGGGAAGACCGCGGAGGATACACATGTCCAGCCTCGAAATTTCCCGCAACGAAGGACGCCGGCCTCGGTAGAATTCCAAGGATCCTGGACATTGGAACAGTCCTTCGGCGGGACTCGATGCATCCTTGAAAATAGTGGCTCTGGAGGAGCCTTCCTCGACATTGAGAAACACCCATGGTTCCTGCTAGTGACAAAAACAGTGGCACTTTAATGCGCTCCATAGGGATACACAGACGCTAACACAGCTAGCTTTGTGTCCTGCAGTCACAACTATGGCATGTGTTTGGTATGAGAATGCATTTTGGACTGGTGTTGTTACCTTATGGCGCGTTTCCACTACACGGCCTCGCTCGGCCCCGCTCGGTATGGCTGGGCCTCATTAGGACTGGCTCACTTTATGGCGCATTTCCATTACAGTTTAGGAACTGGGGCAGTATCTATAGTAACGCAGTGTAGGCGGAGCCGTGACGTGATCTTCAGAGGACCCCAGAAAAACAACACAGCCGTTAGCTGTTAGCACTCAGAGCTCACAGCTCCTCATATATGTTCAGAAACTAGACAAAAGTTAAACAAGTACAAACCACAGACTGCCTGTGTCATGGTGAATACAGTCGCTGCTTTATTTATGTCTGTATAGGCCGTTGTTGTGAGTGTGGACGGTCGGAGCATATACTGCGTTAGCTTAGCCAATCTCCATTTAGAAAACAAGCATTTTAAAAGGTTTTTCCCCTGCCGTCTGTCTGCAGACTTGACAAAGCATTAATTCATGGTTTTTACTAACCGGTATCAGTATGTTGTTACTTCGGCATCATTTTGAAACGTGTATTACAATTAAATCACGGTCAAATATGTCCATCTTGTTGTAGTTGTTGCCCCCTTGCCAGCGACGCTCTCTCTAGTTTAGCATACTCAGCCCGACTCAGCCTCGTTGTCTCTGGCCCTGGACCCACGATTTTATGAGGCCAGAAAAACTGTGAATTAGGACCCGCCGGCCGGTACTAGGCCATGTGGAAACGCAACCAAAGATGGGCCGCTGACGTCACAGCCCTCTTAAACCGGGCTGCGGGCTGTAGTGGAAACGCGCCATTAGAGACCATAAATATGCAGTGCATTGAAGAGACATTTAGATACAAAAGAGAGGATTATGGTTTGCTCACGAAGGAGCAAATATCTCGACAATGACATCTTTATTTGCGAAGATGTGGAGGAGCAAGCCGAAGCAAACACTGTGTGCTGCTGTGACCTAATTATGTTGGAAACTCTAATCTTATGAAGCTGCAGAGAAAAAGTGTAATGCAGAAATAGCCCATACCATCTTAAACAGGAGAACTAGACATCATGTGATTAATTTCACTGCACTCGTCTGCAGAATGTGTTTCTGTGTGTATTTGCCCCATACCGAGGAGTGTTTCCAGTGGCGTATGATCTCTTCCAGGTTGTGAGCAGGGCATAACAGGAAGTGTTCTCTCCACTCGTTCCAGTCCACCATCATCGTCCCATCAATGTCCATACTAGGGAAACACACAGAAACCTTTTAATCTATGACTGAGCTTTCAGATTACACACAGGCAAACATCTTGGCAACACCCTAAATAAAAACATGTTACAGTGGATTGAAGTGAAGGCCAAACCTCTGTAATATTTTCAGGGCATTCTCTTTGCTGACATCCAGGCCCAGCTCTGCAAGGGACTGCTGGATCTCTGAGGCATCAATGCGCCCTGACACAACATAAAAACTCAACTCAGACAAGCTGCAGTGTAAACAAAGAATGTGTGGTATTGTAAACATTCAATGGCATGTCTGCTGACACCGCATGTGAGAACTTGTGCCAAGTATTTTTATATTGAGGAAGCTCCTACCATCGTTGTTTCTGTCCAGGCTCTTGAATGTGAGCCGCAGCTTCTTCTCGTGCTCTTTCAGATAGTTGCTGAACTCGTTGAAGTCGAGACTCCCATCATTGTTCTGATCCCCAGACGACACGATTTTCTGCAGAGAAGAGATCAAATCCATGAGCGGTTCTAGGGTGGGGGGTGGCTGGCTCAACAGGGTCCAGTGCCCATGTAACACTGAGCTTGGAACCCCCTGTGGCCCCCCTCCAAAAGAGAAATTATGATAATGCAATTTCTGATAGTGTTGCAGCAAAGACTGTGGGTCGAAAATAACAGTAAATGTTTTTGTTTTTTAATAATATAATAAGATAAAACTGTAAATCAGTCATTGACTCCATTTCTGTTACTAAAACTAACACCAATAATGGTATTTTAAGTTTTTTTGTGGGCTATGACTTTATACTGAATTTAAAATGTTGCAATCTTGACCTACTGGCCCCAGCTTTGCCCCCCCAATTAGCATGGCATAGAACCGCCCCTGATCAAATCAAATGGTTCATTTCCCTCTTCCAGTTGCACAAGTCACGCACACACACAGACAGACATGGACACTACTTATGAATGCTATGCAAAACAGGCAGGCCAAGCTCTGAAACTCTTCCCTCCTCACAGGACCCCAAACAAGTCTCCCTACCTGTGCGGCTCCCTGGCGAAATATGCCCATTGCCTTGAGGCCCGCTCGTAATTCAGCGACGTCCACCCTCCCATCTTTATTGGCATCAAGCTTCTCGAATAAGTCCTGGTATGACCTCTTGCTGTCGGCATCCCAGCAGTGCGCATTTGATAGTAAAAGCGTCCGTATCGTTGGATACATTGTGGAGCTAATGAGGGAGCAGCAGTCGAGACGAGTCGCCCGTTCTGCAGTCAGGATCTGGTTATAAATCCATATTGAAAATCATCAATCAACCCTGCTGAAATCCAGATGTGAGCTCGGCTTTTGCGTTTAAAAAAGAGTTTGCAGGCACTATATGTTGCACTGTCCCGTGCAGAGGTGTTACTTCGCAACGTATCAGGCGAACTGCAGTAATCGTGGGCGGAGCAAGGCTACGTAGCGACAGCAGGGTGTTTTCTACGGAAAAGCAGGAAAGATGGAAAGTAGAAATGTGACGAAATAAATAAACCCCGCATTACTCGGGTAATCCGCTTAATGCTTCTAATGGTGAACATCCCCATCTGTTTTTTCGCTCCTGCTTCATCTGATGCTTCATGTTGCGGAAATGTTATCTCTACATCTAGCAGGACGTGTCAGTAGAGGGAAACACGCAGCGTTGTATTTCCTATAGCGCATTGCCGATGAGCGCCACTAGAGGGCGCTGTTCTTCACACAGGAGCAGGTGCTGTCAGGAAAGTGAGTCAGGGTCCATCTGTGTGTATCATCACTGGGCCCCTAAATATGTGGTGGGTTTTACTGACTGTCAGAGGTGTTTATATTAAGCGTCATAATAACACACTTTATTTGTGTAGCCAATTTCATGTAATAAATGCAGCAGTGCTTTACAATAAGGGAAAATAGACACAGAATAAAAAAACAAGGGATCAAACTTGGAAAATAAAGCAAACTTTCAAATAACAGGAAGAACAAAGATTGAAATAGAATAAATATAATGCTACACATAAGATGGAAAATAAAACCCACTGAATAACAGTATTAGTAGAAATAAAATCTAAATTACTTATGCAGATTAATGTAATGAAGTATAGAGTGAAATGAAGAGAAAGCACAATATGTAAAGTCCAAGTACCCAAAATGTGTACTTAAGTTCAATATTCAATTAGTAACATGATGCCACTTCTGTGCATTTATCATAGACTTAATGTACAGATTGTTTTAGATTAACCTACACAACAGTATATAAAGTGGATAACATTTGAGCCAGCCTGCTAAAACATTAAAATGTTGCCTACATATATATTCTTTATTCTTCAATTCAAAGTATGTTCAAACAAATTTAAACCAAAAAATTAATGAAGTTATAAATAAGACGAGTTACTTTATCATTAATTTAAAGCCCAATGTGACATGTCACATTTCAGATATTTGACACTACGGGGGGTTACTTGTGTAACACTTTAAATGTGTTCTATGTGGTCTATTTAGTCTAAATTATGTTCCCCTTAATTTCCCCAAAAGTAGAAATGGGTCCGGGTTCTTATGGGTTAAGCATAATGCTTTACTGAATATTCAATGGAATGTATGGCTTATTACCTTCTTTTCAATTACAGATAACAAACATAGGATAATTAAAAAGTATGTTGATTGATAGTATTTAAAAGTGTTATTCCTGAGTGGCCATGTGCTTATTTAGCATGTCTTCCATAAGAGCCGAATGGCTCTGGGTCACATGCCTGCTGAATAGTATATTATCCCTTCTGTTTATTGGAACCACTTCTCCTAAACACTTCAGTGGTCAGGGTAATAGGTTCACTTTAGGGCATTAAATATGAATGAGTTTCAGAAGTGAAGTACAGGCTACAACTGTTACAATCGTGACCTGGGTATTTCTCCTTTCTCCAGGCCTGCATTGTCCAATCAAACGGTGGAATTTCCCTCACGTCACGTATTATATTTTTCAGTGGGTGGAGGAGCGGATTTGAACTTTGAGTCGTGTCTGTCTGCAGACTGCAGCAACAAGCAGCAGCTGGGAGACGAGGAGGAGCAAAGAAAGTGTTCAGTTGAGGATTTACCACGACTGTCAGCGACGTTTAGGATATGTCGTTCATTCTATTGAAGAAAAAGAAATTTAAATTTAAAGTAGACTTCGACTTGGAGGAATTGTCCTCTGTTCCCTTCGTAAACGGAGTTTTATTCTGTAAAGTGAGACTGGTAGATGGAGGCTTTGCCGAAGAGTCGTCTCGGTAAGAATGTTTTTTCTATTTATAGCCACGGTTCCCTGGTTGTTCCAACATGCTAAAATTACTTTTAAGTTGAGCTTGTTTTTAGCCATTTTTAAGTCCGTGTTCAGGTTTATATGGACATTTTTTAAACATTTATTGTCACGGGTTTGCTCCTTTGTTGGCAACAGCATTCCCTGACTTTCAACGATCAACGTTAACTTGGTTATGTGTTGTTAACGTTGACTAACAGTAGCTAGGTTAACGCTAACTAACTAATACTTCAAGAGTTTACAATGTGCTGTTGACAATGTGCTGCTGTGTTAGGAGATAGTAGCCCTACAACCAGGAAGATGAGATTTACACAATATGAATAGAGCCAGAGCTCGCTAATTTGTTAAAAAATATAATGTAGGGTTATGTTTCAATCGAAGAAAGTTAATGTGTGTTCCGTTAACTTATGTACACTGTTGATCAAAGTAGTTGCTAAGCAACAAGTAGATACTGTGAGTGAGACTGCAGTAGCCTGCAGTATTTATCTTACTAGTGTTGGAAGAAGTACTCAAATCCTTTACTTTAAAATGACAAATACTATGGTCCTAAAATACTCCATTACAAGTAAAAGTCCAGCTTTTAAAATGTTACTTAAATGTACAAAAGTATAAGCATCAAAATGACCCGTTTCAGAACAATATAAAGAACATGATTTGTATCAGTTTAAATCATAGACTGTATATATAAAGGTTTAAAGGTACTTCAAGAATCAAAAGTAAAAGTACTCGTTAAGCCGGATATCTATTTCTACATTATTATAATATTATTGTTATTGTATAATCCTGTTTTTATACATGTAAGAGCATTTTAGTATGGTAATTTGTGAGTGTTGACCAAATGTAGGCCTAGATACTTGAAATACTGTGTAGTACTACAGTAGCCTACTGCTTTATACCATATCAGCATATCATGTGTTTTATATGTACAAAGTAACTGGTAACTGAGTGTCAAATAAATGTAGTGGAGTGGAAGTATAAAGGAGCATGAAATATAAATACTCAAGTAAAGAACAAATATGTCAAAAAAAGTACATGAGTACAAAACTTGAGTAAATTTTCTTTTTTCACTTTTCACCACTGCTTACTAATAATAATATTATATTTGGGATTGTGTTATATAGCAGACTCCTTATAGTGTGTAATTTGTAGCAGGCTCATTTTCTCTTTTAGTCAGTTTTATATGCAGGGTATCTGATATTACTTGTATTTATGACAGTTAGAACCAAAGCATTTTCTTCCAATGAAAGAAGCGCACAAGGTTTGGGGATGGTGATTATAAGTGCTTGTAACGTTACTGTAGCATTTAAATGAGTCACGATGGAAAGAAAGACACAGGCATAGCACATGTCTAACCCTCATTGCTTTGCCATGGTTACTCTCTGTTTCCAAACACTGTGTCTCACTTTTACCCTGCTCCAACCACAGCTGCATTCTCTGTTTTGAATACAAGCATATTGTCAATCTTGTGTGTGGTATAGGGGCGGATGGAAATTATTATTTTCACATCTTATTTTTATAATTGTTCTTTTTCTCCAAAGCCTGTTTTATTCTGAAACATCCAAATGTCAAGTACAGTGAGAATTGGACTAACATCTTGCACACATTTAGATCTGACCAGGTGGAATAAGCTCATGTTTTCGAGTGAATAATCATCTAATAGGTTTTGAGGGGATAACTCAAGGTGTAAAAATTGAGCATAAGCCCATTTCACTAAATATCATTTGCTTTATTTTCATATATATATTTTCCCAGAAAAATATATAATCTTCTTCTTTCATACAATTGGATGGTAAACTATCATAAATCTGAAAGAGTTGGGATATATATTTGTTCGTTAATCATTATGCCTTTGTGTTTCTAAATGTATTATCTCTCACAGGGAGCAAGTCCAAGCCAACTGTGTACACTGGAGGAAGAGATTTTCCTTTGTGTGTAAGATGAGTGCCAATGCTGGAACAGGTGTACTCGACCCCTGTTTGTGCCGGGTGTCTGTGCGCAAGGTACAGGACATTTTCTCTGCCGTCAAGCTCTATTTTGTTGACACCACAAAAATACATAGTGGCAATTTTCCAAAACAGAGTCCAGATAGTTAACTGTGAATGTGCTAAGAAATGTTTATGTAGCCTACATGAGACCAGGAGCACTGTTAATTTGTAACCATACGAGCTTGGTGCAGCCAGTGGTCATTCTACAACGACTCATACATTTTTTTTAATGTAAACAGTATATAACTTTCCCTTTTTGTCATTTTAGGAAGTGAAGGGTGGAAAGACCTTTGCAAAGGTAAGGTGTTCTTGAGTTCTTGAGACCATTTTGTTGTAAACATAGCAGCTTACGGGCCAGATATCCATTAGAGGAGTCTTATCATAAAATGTGTGTGATAAAAGTCGGCCTCAGTGTGAAGGTGACCTTAAGTGAGTTGAGTCTCACAATTAATGTTTTTATTTCTAGCTTCCGGCTTTGGTTACTGATTGAAAAATCTCTAAATCAAAACTAAGGCTCTGTTAACCAATAACTTAAATGATGAGAATAATTAGTTTGTCTGCCTTCTCAGGAATGTAAGGTCCCGTTGCATGTGGTGTGTTTCTAAAAACCTATGCTGGGCTGGATTTCAACAAATACTACTGTATGTTTTATAGGATGATGCTTTATGTACAGATACCTTGTTAGTGCTCGCACTTTAACACTGTTCTAACTGCTTGGTCTTTATAACCCTGTGCAGCTGGGCTTTGCTGACTTGAACCTGTCTGAGTTTGCTGGGTCTGGCAGCACCACACGACGGTGTCTCCTAGAGGGATACGACACCAAGAACACCAGACAGGACAACTCAATTCTAAAGGTGTGGTAGTGTTTAAACGCAAAGCTCCACAATCCTCCTTTCAATATTGTTTGAAATGGAATTAGAAGTCTCTCCCACACTGGCAATGTTTTGCTAAAGTCCAAGCTTTTAGAAAAGCATAGAAAAGCCTAAAACCTGTTCTTGCTCAACTGTGCCACTCTAAATGAAGTCATCAGTTCCTGAGTTCATCAGTAGAAGATGACAAAACGTTGGATTTATGTACTGAGTGGAACAGTGGCATGCCCCGACAGTTGATGCTACACATGTCTGAGCTTGTGATCTATAAGCTGCCTAAGCCATGGGAATGCATTTTAGACATTCCTCCAATGGACTAACATTTCACAACATTTCATTCCAACCCTTTGTTAAAAGTAACCCTCGTAAACCACACTACGTCGCAGCTTTTTCCCCATCTTACAAATACAGATGCTTGTCAGCCTAAAACCAACATATTTTTTTCTGTTTACAGGTTGTCATCACCACACAACTTATGTCTGGAGACCCCTGTTTTAAAACGTAAGAGCTCCTTTTAACCATATTATACATCAGTTTAGTGTCATTACTCATAACACTGGAGACCTGTCTGTTATGTTGAGTGTATATGTGGTTAAAAAGGAAGTATGCCTCTGCATCCGACTACAGAGGAAACTGTTCTCGTCACGTCCTGTCTGTCATCAAAGTGACCCAACACTGATGTCTTATATCACATAGATTTCAAATAATTTAATGATATGAAAATACTGAGTTGTCAGAGTTATCAGATGCTTATCTGAGAGCTAATAAACCCTCAGTCAGGCATTGATGTGCCTAACCCTGATAGTGAACAACAGCTGATGTGTGATCAGCTCAGCCCAGATATTTTTTTCTCTCTTTTATCAAGAGCTGTACGTAGAGATGTTTGTCAAAGACATGATGTAACAACACTCTCCTGCCAATGTGCACACTGTTAACTTTCTATAACCGGTCTTTCCCTGTAACTACTCCCTCTCAGTGTAATAGTAGACACACTGCTGCCGAGATGTCTCAAGTGTAATCTTAATAGCAGGGCTAGTCATTCAGCCCACGGGGTGTTAGTCATCGTGTGTGTGATGAAACAAAGGAGATGACACTTTTGTTTTTTATGATTTGCTGACTGTCCGCCCTCCTTCCTTTATTTAGCATAGCCTCTCAGTAGCACATATGTGGGGTTTCCTGTGATAAGGTCCGGTATATCCTTATAAAGTAATCCTATTTCTGTCCACAATACCACATATGATATGATATTGTCAGATCAAGTATAAAATGTTTCTTACATCACAGCAGCTCAATTTGCAACATGAACAATATTAAGACAAGGAACCAAACATAAGAAACTAACTAATATAGTTATAACCTAGCCACTTATAACAGGATGTAATGCATTTAAATAACTGCATTTGAGCTACACAAGTTCTACATTTAAAGGTCTGTTTGATGACTCAACCCAGTGTTCTCGTTACTTTAGTTATAGGGTCATTGTGTTTTGCCTGTGAAGCAGAGGAATTAGCAGATTTTGATATTGCATTTAACAAGATTGTATGCTATCCACTCATCGGTATAGGTACAACATGCAGGTACAGGTTTAGTAAACTTAAAGGGGACCTATCATGCAAAATGCACTTTGTGATGTCTTTTATACATAAATATGTGTCCCTGGTGCGTCGGGGAACTCACGCAGCGTCAGAAAATAAAACCCTCTCTCTTTTCCTCCGTACCCAAATCTTTTAAAACGGGTGTACAACGAGCGGATACAGATTCCATCCCAACTGACGTCAAATCGGCAGCGGACCCACAGAAAGTTGCTATCAGAAACAATGCCTGACATGTTTTGGACGTAATCTCGTCTTTGTTTACATTAGCAAGCCTCGCTAACACTCAGAGCTAACCTGTACTGTGTAGAGCACATGTGTTTAAAAAGCAGGAAATAAAAAAAGAACTCACCTTGTGATAAACCTGCAAGAGAAAAAGCATGACGTGGTTTAAACAGGATGGCGTTTTATCACAACCGAATTTAACTTTATCTCCGGTAGAATTCTGATCAGGCATTAGCTCCGCCTTCTCTTCTTCTTCTTTTTTCAAGCTAAGGACCCAATATCCGCGTTCCTCTAACAGGGCTACAAAAGAGGGGTATGAGCAGTATGAGGGATGGCTACAATGGGTGATCTGTTTGGTATTTTGAAAAAAAACCTTCACAGACTGTTTTGTATAGGTATGGCCCTACCATATATTTTTCAAATATAGCATGATAGGTCCACTTTAAGGAGCACGGAAATAGTCTAAATGAAGGTTTTCTACATAAACCAGAGTGATTTGGTCAGCACTATAGATTTTGAAGGAGTCGGTCGCAGAAAATCACTGTGCATTCTGTATTCTGTAACTTAAAGTGACCAAAGTCCATAACTGTTGGTCCTTCATGTGGGCTTTAATCAGACTATGGTCCAATAACTGTGTCTAACATAAGAGCATTTGAAGGAGCTGCTTTCTAACAACACTGAGTGATGCTTCTTACACCACCCTGCTCCTCAGTAACATCACTCTCTCTCGTGTTCCCTTTAGTCCCCCGTCTACTGCCATGACCCTGGGAAACCCACAGGCTGAAGCAGAGTGTCTTCTTGAGGACAGGAAGGGAGGGGACGTGCACATATTCCATTCACTAACTGGTATGTAAATACACACTCTAAAGAGTTTTCTGCCAGGTTATCATTTTAGTTTCTATGTTCTTGACAGAAGCAAACAAGCAGCTATCGTTGTCAACATTTTTGAAATGGTCCTTTTAAAGAGCCATAGTCAACAGTAACAATTTTAAATGAATTCAATGTTCTTTTTCACAAGCCTATGAATAATAAGCATGATGATTTACCAAAGATGTGGGACTCCACTAGGTTTTTTGTTTACCTCAAATAAGAAACATTTCCTCTGAATATAAGTTGTAGCTGTGTCATCTTCTGATTTTTAGTTTCACCACTGAGTGTTTGTGTCTTTTATCATTTAGGTTCTACAGTTAAGTCAGTTTCTGTCCCAGAGGAGCTGGTAGCGTACGGCCATTCAAGAACACCCAGCTATGCAAGTGAGAAGTCAAAAATCTCAGGTACCAATCCAGGGACACATAATATATTATTCCCTCAAGCCACTTTTTAACCACACCAGATACACAAATCACTGGCATGACCTTAATGTGTTCACTCTCTCCTTACTTTTAGGTTACAGTTCAAATCACTCCAGTTTAACAGATCTGTGCCATCGGAGGAGCGGGTCAGGGGGTTCTGCCTCCACAGGCATCGGCAGCATCCTGGAACCCAGTGACCAGCAGGGGGAGAGCAGGACGACTCCCCCCGCCTGTGCAACCTGTCAACATGCATCTGAACACCCCTCTACCCCAGCTAAAATTCATAGGTAATGTTTTTTCCCCTTTTATTTTCAAACCTTTATTTTCCAAACTGCTTTCCATAATGATCATTGTGAACAAACCTTGGTAACGGTTTTTATGATCCACTAAATATATTGTATATTTTCCTTATGCAGCACATTTGTGTAATATTCCACTCTTTGTCTGTTTCTACATTAGACATCCAGTCAAGCAGAACTCAATGGAGAATCAGCTGAAGAGAGTTGATGCCACCAGGGTGGATGCTGATGACATAATAGAGAAAATCCTGCAGAGCCAGGATTTCAGCAGCGGTTTCTTGGACTCCAGTGCAGAGGGTGTGTACATCTAATCTGTGATTTAGTGGACCTATGCAGGCGGACTTAGAAAGTTGCCTAACATCCTGCTGATGGGATCAAATTACTTTGGGGTGTTGCAATGTTACAACGCAACATCTGTAAGTACTTCCTTCAATGGATTACAAATTATTAAATGTTTATCGTGGCAAACCATAAAATGGAAGCCAAATGGAACCATACCTTAGTTACCTTCCATTTTAAATATTAGAGTTTATTTGATAAAGGGTTCAAGTATTAAGATTGAATATCATTTCTATGAATACCACAAGGACAGTTTAACCTCACTGATAGGCAAGCACACACTGTGTCTGCCGTGCTACTTACCCCTGTCTTTAACGCCATTGAGACTGATGTTGCATACATTTTTAATGTGAAAGTGTATCTTTTGATTGTGTTTCTTAACCATCAACTATTGCCCTGAATATTCTTCAAAAGGTCTGACTCAGACTAGCTACTACATCCCCCTAATGTGAATGTGTGTGTTTGTGTATTTATTGATTTCTGCAGAGGAAGGGCTAAGCTTGTTTGTTGGTCCTGGTGGGAGTACAGCCTTGGGAAGCCAGCACATGAGGTGAGTGTTATGTAATTGTGGATTGTTAGTGCTACAAAGCAGACATTAACTACTTATCTAAATTCATTTCAAATGTGCTGAATGGGGACCCGAATGAGGAATATACTCATCGTGTGTTGAATGCTCTTTCAGTTTCACATCATAATCTTAGTTCTACATATAAAAGCCCCTTCATTTCCTGTCATGTAACACATTGCGCATTCTCTTTCAGGGTTGCAGCTGGAGCCTTTGAGCAGGTGGTGATCAAGCGCTAGGCTTTAGGAAGCATGTGACTGTCAAAGGGTGCCATGTTACACTGAAGCGGGAGGACACAAGACTGGAGAGTTGTAGAGGTGCCATCAGAACTTGATCCTGCCTCACTCCAGGAGATTTCATTTCTCCAAGGCAGTTCTCTGCATCTGACCTACAGTGTCTGTAGACCAGGAGAGCTCCCTAGTGTTCAAGAAGTGGAGGTGAAGGCCACATACATTTTGAACATCTTGGTGCTGGGGTAACTAATGTACTGACATTTATGTGGGTGTTCTTTTATGAAAACTGAAAGGTTTAAGTACTGTGATTCAACACATATTGTTCACCCATCTTGGTGAGCTTTAAGCTGTAAAGGGGTTTCTCTGCTATTTAAAAAAAAAAGCTTTTGTTATGGTTGATTTGTATTCCTCAGTTTAATTGTATTGTGTGTGGCTGTCGGTTAGTCGGTTCCTTGAAGTCCCATACATCTAAAGTAGTACACATCTGACATTGTGACATTTAAAGTGGTGGAGAGATGACTGCTATTTAAATACCATTATCTTTTGATGGTATGATTTCCATTTTGTCTGAGCATGTGCCTTTGTCTGTTGTCTTTAAAGCGATGAATTTATTTTTTATCAGAGATTTTGTAAATGTATATTTGCTGCCACTTAAGAAGTTATATCTAAACTATGTAGCCTACATAATGAAAGTCATATGTGTAAAGCCCACAATGTTTTTTAAGATATCTATAGGTTGTTTTTTTAAATGTTTTATTTCAGGCCAAATAAATCATACATTTCGAAAAATTTGCTCTTTGTGTAACCTTTTGTTCTGCTGTCTTTTTGCAGTAGGGATGCCATAGAACATTTTACACAACATTAAAATAAACGTTTTTATACTTTTACAATTTTTTCTTCATCTTCTAGGCCAGGGGTCACCAACCTTTTTTAGGGTGAGGGCTACTTTCAAAAAATAAAACAAGTCGGGGGCTACTTTTACTCCTCTTTTTTTTGTTTTTTGCAGTGTATATATTTAGCACATTTTAACATTATGATATGCTGACCTTTAACCTTTGTGTGCTGTTTGGGTCTGTGGGACCCGTTTTCAGTGTTTTCTAAAAGAACATGTATTCAATTTAATTATTTTAACCTGCTTTATTTGGGGGTGGACGGGCCTCACCTCCTCTAGGGGGGTCCTCACCTCCTCTAGGGGGGTCCTCACCTCCTCTAGGGTCGGGGGGCATGCACCCCCGGGAAGATTATTTTTAAATGTTGAAGTGAAAAGCATCAATCTGGAGCACTTTGAGCACAACATGAATTTATGGATACAGCTCTCAACACTCAGATGAAAGGGAGCTGTATACTTTTCAATAATCCAAATATCTTTAGAATATGATCACAACCAATAACAAATCATTTAAACTGGTTTATTCTTATCTTATGTTACCTAGTTAGCATTCTTTCTTTTTATTTATGCTTATTTTACTAATCACTCCCCTTTCAAACTGTTTTTTGTTTTTCTTACTTTATCTATAGATAAAGGTGTGCTCTCCCTAGCTCTCTCTCCCTCCCTCCCTAGCTCTCTCGCTCGCTCTCTCTGTCTCTCTCTCTCTCTCCCTCTGTCTCGCTCGCTCTCTCTCTCTCTCTCGCTCACAGAGGCTGTGTGCTCCTCCGTGTCGATGACGGCTTGCGTTAAAAAAAAATAATAAACATATTTGTAAAGTGGGGGGACACAAACGGGATTTCGAAAAGAGCGGGGGACATTTCCCCCCTGTCCCAGGTGGAAATTACGCCATGCGTGTGTGTGCGTCAAGTGCAATAAATACATGCAAGTTGCAACACACACAGTAAAGCTCTGCCCCTCATGTGCTGTATAGGCTGCATGATAGGCTGCTCAATGGGGCTGATGTGTTGTGTAGATTCTGCCAGAAGGAAAATCAGCGGGGAGGTGCCACATTGCTTTTCTTCCAGACTGCAACGCTGGTTCTTATTATACATCCATGCGCTGGTCCCGCAAATCAAGCAAGAACGTGATTGGTCGATATTCATTGTGGGGGTGGGGGGAGGAGGGGTGTTAGATAGATATAGAGTTGTAGTAAGTAGATAGAGTGCGCTATGATTTAGGTTTCGTTTATGCATAGGGTAGATTCTTTTAATTACATTTCCTTTTTTGTTTTGTGTATTTTATACATTTTGGATTTGCTTGGCGAGCTATTTTTAGAACATGCCCCGCGGGCGACTCACGTTGACCAAGTGCCCGCGGGCACCGTGTTGGCTACCCCTGTTCTAGGCAATGATTTATTCTAGAGTCCATGGCACATTTGTAATAGTTGTATACACTTTAAAATTAACAAATTACATAAAATAACCAAAAGACAGAGCATTTAACATTAAGGGGATACCAGACAACTAACTCAATGTGTTTTTTTATTACCATGTATAACACTCCATATTAAATATGTAAATATCACGAAAATGGAAGCTTAACCCTTCACTTGCGTTAGGTCATTCCCATACTATTTTCGGTCAAAATTGACCGGTGTGTTTTGCACAGTGATATCTCTGGAACCCCTTATCCAATTTTGATGGTTGACATCTCATTTGAACAGTCAAAGCAAGTCAAATCAAGGGGTGACAGACAGAATGACACCAGGGGTGAATTACAGAGGGTGGTGAAAACTGCACAGCACATCACCAGGACGGAGCTGCCATCCATGGAGGACCTTTACTCCCAGCGGCTCAGGAAGAAAACACTACGGATTATCAAAGACCCCCATCACCCCAGCCACAAACTGTTCTATCTGTTGCCGTCTGGCAGACGTTACCGCAGCATCCTGGCAAAGACAAGAAGATTCGGATACAGTTGCTTCCCGCGGGCAGTGAGACTGTTAAACAATTGAACTGCTGAAACAACTTCAAAACATTCATCTGCTACTCAGTAATATGTATCTAATATCATTCCAATAACTTGTATATCGACTCGTACTGCACTATTCCACATGCTCACTTTATTTTATAACTATTTTTCTTTTTGTATTGCTCTTGCTATCTGTATTGTTATTATGTTGCATTGTTGGAGAAGCCTGTGACATAAGATTTTCAACAACATAATTACTCTGTAGCTATGTCAGTTTGACAATAAAGAACCTTGAACCGTGTGTGTGTGTGTGTGTGTGTGTGTGTGTGTGTGTGTGTGTGTGTGTGTGTGTGTGTGTGTGTGTGTGTGTTTTCCATCTGCAGGATGAACATGATACACTCATACCCATTCATTTCCTTTGGCGGTCAATTCTGACCGAAAACATCATGGGTGTTTCACTGTTGAATAAATCACAAAAAAATCAATGCAAGTGGTGATCATCAATTGTATAATGCTCAGAGGCCTAGTGTGGAGGATAACATAAGGTCTTGAGGCAATTGGATGAAAAACACAATATTTATGATAAAAAACAAAGTCACTCAGTCACTTTTGACCCGAAACGCAAGAGAAGGGTTAAAGATCACTTTAAATCGGCAGGTGTAGTTTCATAATATTGCGATCATTGAATTTCCGGTTTAGGCAAAGCAAACATTTCAAAGTAAACACGTACTAAGAAAGATACATTGTGTTAAAAAGCAACAACGACTTACATATTTTCCATTCACCACATTATATAATAATAATAACAAACAATATTTACGGAATATACGTTCAGTGATCAATTTCACAATTGATACACATCGGTATGTGCATACATGCTTTTATTTTCCTAACATAAAGCCTGTTGACGCAGCGGTGGTTCGCAGTTCACAGCACAAACGTTCACTTCCGGTTCCCAACGCGCAACGGCAACAGCGCTTTAGCTAGCGTTACAGCGACGGCGGGAAGTTGTGATCGTCAATTCAACAACAAATCAACTACAAGAGAACCGACGGAACTGTTAAATATCGACACTTCACTATGTTATATTGATGGATCTGTAATCGGAAATACGCTAACTGTACACTATCCTGAGCGGCGTGGGATTTAGCTAACATGGCTAACGTCGGAAACCAGCTACCAACACAGGCCGTTAGCAAGCCTGCATCAGGAAAACATGGAAATGTATTGCCCCTGTGGGGCAACGAAAAGACTATGAACCTCAACCCAATGATTCTCACAAATGTGCTGTCTTCGCCGTATTTCAAAGTTCAGCTTTACGAACTTAAGACGTACCATGAAGTTGTGGACGAAATCTACTTCAAGGTAAATTTAGCAAATGCTAACCCGCATGCTAGTTAGATAACCGCCGTACAGTCTATCTAGCTTTAAGGTAGCGATAGCAATTTACTATAGTGGTCAAATACCAAGGGAAACTGCCACCACAAAGACCTAGTATTATATATCGTAACACAAGTACTCGGGAAGATGTCCGAGTATCTCAAACAATTGCGCACACATACGGGACCTTAATATTTCTATCGGCAACGCCACATTAACTTCTAAGTGAGCTTACGTTAACTAACGTAAAAGCATGGCTGCCGTTATAAACAAAGATTACTTGAATGTTTGTTTTTTATATTTTCAGAAATAGTAAAATGATGATGCTGGTTTGACCGCTTAAAAGCGGCAGGTGGTAGGGGTCTCTGACTGCCAGAGCAGAATAACTGTTCCCTGATACGTTCTTCTGTCTTTATTGACAAAAAGGCCAGTAAAGTATTATGTCAATAAAGGTTTAAAAAAAAAAATCTATTTTCTAAAATGGCTGTTGTTAATCTACACAGCCTTGCTATAAACCAAATCCACCTATCACATTTATGTTTAGCAGTAAAGACTTTAAATGAATACCTGTTGCTATCATAGTGTCATTTAAACACTGGCATATATCACTCCAGCTTCACTAACGCTCAGAGGAAGTTCAGATGTGTATTGGCAGCTCAAATAATGTTTCATGGACATATGTAAGTGTGTTAACTGTCCTTAAGACTCCTTACATTGTTGTGTATGTCTACAGGTGAATCACGCTGAGCCTTGGGAAAAGGGAAGCAGAAAGACTGCAGGCCAGACTGGAATGTGCGGAGGGGTAAGTGAGAAGTACGTGCTTTTTATATTCCCCATCTTTTCCCCCCCTCTACATTTGCCTTTCCAAACTCGAGGATGATGACTTACAAGTATGAAACATTTACACAATTTATAAGTACTTTCATTGTTGTACTTTAATGCTTAAGTATTGTCCAAGGGTCCGTTTTTGTGAATAGGTTTGCTGTAAATAATGTGCTTTACAAATATGTCTTCATCCTTGTTAGGTGCGTGGAGTCGGGACTGGTGGTATTGTGTCTACTGCTTACTGTCTTCTATACAAACTGTTTACTCTCAAGCTGACTCGCAAACAGCTGATGGGTCTGATCACTCACTCAGACTCTCCTTACATCAGAGCACTTGGCTTCATGTACATAAGGTAGGTCTTTTTTGGCTGGAGATTGTTTTGTATACTTTGCAAATATTGCTAGATATTTTTGCACATTTTGGTTAAGACATCATGTTGATGGAATTGGAGATGTTTTGTTCTAAGGCAATATTTGAGTTAAAAATATAAAAAAGTTAATTGATCGATGATATATTTTTTAATTTTCACTATGCTACTAAAATGTATCCATAGTGTATAAGAAACATTTTATTGCAATGTTCTAGTTGCAATGCATTTTTCATGCAGGACTCGGATCATAAAAAGTTTAACTTCAATTTGTCTGAAAGTGTGTGTGTATAGGTATTATTGATACAGGTCCACAAATGCAAATGCTCATTATGCTCTCTGTTTTGTTCAGATACACTCAGCCTCCAGCAGATTTGGTAGATTGGTACGACGGCTTCCTGGATGATGAGGAGGTATGTCACTTCGGGTAATAATTTGATGTTTCTTTCTCTCAAATAAATACGTTGTCAAAAGACACATGTTAAAAGCTCTCCATCTCCCCCCCTTGTGATGCTCATGAACTGATTTTTCACCTTTGCCTTCATTTGGCTTAATTGTCCCCAGTTTCTGTGCTCTAAACCTGAGTAGCTAGGTTACTTGCTCACTGTGCTGCTGCTGATTTTTATCAGGGTAAGTAATGGATACGATGCAAATTAAATCTTTAAGTTAATGTAATGATAAGGCATGCCTTTTAATTTTTATAAGCTTCCATCAGGACCACAAAATGTGGGATAAATAGTAATTGGATCATTCATTTGCATACAGTCAAGCAGACATGTATACCCAAACTAATAACACATGTCGACTGTTGCATACATCTATTAGGGATTCGCCATATTTTAAAGGATCAGTGTGTAGGATTTAGTGTAAACTAGTAGTGACTCCTAAAGCATGAAATAAATGTTTTAGTTTGTTCATTCTGGGCTACTGTAGAAACATGGTCGTTGCAAAATGGTGCGCCCTGTGGAAGAGGACCTGCACCTTATGTAGTGATAGACATCGTTTCACGCGATTCAACACGATCGAGAAGGAAAGTTAGGAATAATGTATTTTATTTCTGCCGTTAAATCTTACAGATTGGTCCTTTTTGGTTAAAATTATACTTGATACCAGACTGTGCAGCTAGGCCCCCTTCGATGTTCTGTTGCATTATATTTGAACTGATCATATGAAATCCTTCCCAACTGGTTAATTCCCCTGTTTTTTTCTTTAGATGCCCATTGTGCAGCAGGTGAATTGGATATTGTATCTCAGCACTGTTGGGTTGCGTGTGTGAGTGCAAAGCGGCTGTTCCTGACCATATCAAGTCAATAACTCTTCAACTGGTGTGCACTTTGCCTACCCGCTCCAATCTGTTCTTACACTGTGGGCAATTTTTAAGCGCTTACACCCCCTTAAGAGTCCATTGTGGTCTTGGAAAAGCAACAAAAAGAAGCCATGGTTTATCTTGCATTGAGTTTCAATGTTTTCAGATGCTGCTTTTTCCTTCATTTTCAGTCTGTTTACAGTAGATGCCACCACTTTTGAACTACTGTTATAAACAGATGATTTTAAGAAAAGGGGGGTGCATCCCGAAATAACAGTCCTTTGATTATAAACGCTCACACTGTTAAAACAGCCAGAGTTTAAATGAGGTAAGACTTTTGTTATATTTATAGTTCTCTATCCTGTCATTGGCAAAGAAAATTCAGCCACATCTGATTGGTTTTGAGAGATTAAGCTAGATGAACAGAGGTGAAGTTTCAGTACTTGGTCATCACAAAAAATATATGTTAAGGCTAGATTGAAACAACGATCACACATTTACCTCTGCCCTGCCTGGCTGTGTTAATTGAGTTTTCCTATGGCTCTTTCCCACCGTTTGATTTCAGGAGCTTGACGTGAAGGCAGGGGGCGGCTGTGTGATGACCGTTGGAGAGATGCTGCGCTCCTTCTTGACCAAACTAGAGTGGTTCTCCACTCTGTTTCCCCGCATCCCGGTGCCCGTGCAGAAATCTATTGACGTGAAGATGAAGGCCAGGCCTCGTAAAGTTCCCGTGAAAGAGACGCCGGAGGAGGAACCCGAGGTAGAGGAGCCAGGGAAGCAAGGAGAACAACGCGGCTCCAGGTAACACAATTAAAAGGTTGTCTGTTGCACAGGGTTCCCGCGGGGTCTTAAAAAGTCTTAAATTTGATAATCTGAATTTAAGGCCTTAAAAAGGTCTTAAATATGACCAAAAAAATAAGAAAGGTCTTAAATATGATTTAGAAGGTCTTAAAAATGATGGGATTTGAAAGGTACTTCTGTGTTGCGATCGCGTCTAAATGTGTTTTGGGGGAAATGTCCGGGCTGCAAAGTAACCTGTAGCCTACGGTAAGAGCCTTTCAGTTCCCCCCAACAATCTGTATTGAAATAAATCAACATGGAACCAGTAATCACTAACTTTGTTTCCCCCGGCCCCTTATCGGAGAACACCCAGCTAGTAACCTAGCAAGCAAGCTTCAGCTAGCGGCAGTCAGAAACTCATGTATCTTCAAATCTACTTACAAATAAATATGGGGAAGTGTAAGTTCAACCGTATTTGGTTGGAAAACATCGAATTTAGTGCTTGGTTGAAATCAGTGGAGGGATTGTGTTTGAAGCCCGCTGCACCTTTTGCAAAATAAATTTGCGTTTGTTTTGCTAATGTAGCGTTAGCTAGTGCAGCGTTAGCTAGTGCAGCAGCTCCCGCAACAACACCGGGGGACCTCCGGGCGACGTTTGGGTCTTCGAAAGCGGAGGTGCTGTAGACGCTAAATACCGTAGTTAAACACCAATCATACAACAGCAACGATGAAAGATTGTAGTCAAGGCAGCAGAGCTCTGAATATAGCTCTTGACACACACACACACACACACACGCACACACACACACACTAGGGCTGCTTGATTATGGCAAAAATCATAATCACTATTATGTTTGTCAATAATTGATATCACGATTATTAAATACGATTATTCATTGACTTTGAAAACATCCATTTATTGAACTTTAAAACAAATAATAATTTGAATAGTATATTTTTAACTGTTGATTACCCTGAACGTATAATTCAACTGAAAAACCAATACAAAAATAAATGATACATTTAAATAAATAATATCAAAATAATAAATACCAATAAACAAGATCAACAAATATTTTGGTTAAGCTACTAAACATATAAATATGATAAATAAAAATAAATGAGACAAAATTAATTAGATCAAATATGTTCTAGTGCACTGTCACAACCTAGCAAAGCAAAATAATCGTTTTTTTCTATTATGTTGTTTTCGTAATTGTGGCAGGCCAAAATCGTAATTGCGATTAAAATACGATTAATTGCACAGCCCTAACACACACACACACACACTTTTTGTCTAACACGCTAACACAGTTCTGGGCTGTTATGTTCAGTCATTGTTCTTATGTTGAACATGAATACATTTACTTTGTGTAATTATGGGACGTATTTCTTCTTTCATAGCAATTTTCCTTCATACTTTCTTGCCGTGAAATAGGTCTTAAATTCTATTCAAAGTGGTCTTAAAAAGGTCTTAAAAAGTCTTAAATTTGAGTTGGCGAAACCGGCAGGAACCCTGGTTGCAAACTCTTGCCATGACTCTCTTTACTCTAATTCTTACTTATGTAGGTTGTGTTATCTATATGACCAGAAAGTGTAATTGCTTGCTCTGTTTTTTGTCAGGACACCAAAACAGACACCAAGCCCAAAAAAGTCCCCCAAACGGTCAAGGAGCAGGAGCCACCACCGCGAGAAAGAACGACACGGCCCCAGCTTTGACCGAGAGCTGGAGAGGGAGCGGGACCGCCAGAAGAAAGAGAGGGGGGGCGGGGAGAGGGAGAGGGGGGAGCGAGGGGACAGGGAGAAACGGCGGTCCCGCAGCGCAGACAGAAACCAAGACCGGAGGGAGCGTAGAAAGAGTGGCAGCAGGGACAGAAAGAACGAACGCAGGGACAAAGAAAGAGACGGCGGGGACGACAAGAACGACAAGAACGACAAGAACAAGAGGAAAGAGAGGGAACACCATAAAGACAGAGGCGTAGAGGGGGAGAGGTCCAAAGATAAAAAGAGCAGGGGGGAGACTGATGAGAAGAGGCATAAAGAGGACCGGGAAAGGCACAGAGAAGAGAGGAAGGCCAAAAGGCAGAGCCAAAGTCGCAGTAGAGAGAGGAAGCACAAGAGCGGGGGGGAAGAGAAGAGCAGGAAGAGAGACAGCAGAGAGAGAGACAGGGAGAGGGACGGAGAACAGCGCTCTCACAAACGTAGTGGTAGCAAAGACAGGAGCCATCATCAGAGAGAGCCCAATAATGACCATAGTAAACATATTGGACGCAGAAGGAGTCAGAGCACTGAGTAAATGTCGCCTGCCAGCAATATTACTTCTTTTCCTCTTGTGTTTTCCTCCCCTCTTTTTTACCCAGTTGTTAATTAGAAGAGAAGAATGTCGGCACATTGGACACCTGGAGTTTTTGTCTTTGGCCAATGTAATATTGCTTTATGTTTTTCTGCCTTTTTTCACTCCCCATTAGACCATTGTTAGTCTTCACTTGAAATTTAAAAAGTGGCAAAAATTGCATTTTAATTTTCTATTGTGCGTCTGTTTGCCCCGTGAAGATGTGGATTTGTAAATACCGTTTCAGAGGCCGTCGACACGCGATCAGGGGTCTGAGTTGCATTGCATGCTCAGTCGGGTTCCCATGGCGCTGAAAGCTCAACTAAGAACTGTCGTTATATCATTTATGCAATGTATAAATAATAACTTGTTTTCAGGCAGTACAAAACACTTTTCTATAGATTTGAATAAATACACTGCATTTGTCTGGCGAATGACATACAAATTTGAGATTAGCAGCCATGTTGTTAGACAATGACTTCACAAAGCAACTCTCTCCATGGTCGTGTGTCGTCAGTCTGAGAATGTTTTAATCCTCTAAGGGCCGTCTGCAAGGGGTCATTTTTACCACACACACTGAGCCCTGCCTGTGCTGTGTTTGGGTTATTGCTCTGTTGCATTTTGTTTTCTAATAAAACACTTTTACAAACAACATGTTTTTAGTCTTGTTTTCAAAGGAATATCCATGTATTTGTCATTCCATCACATTTATAGCAGTTCAAGGATATTACAACCATTGAGTTGAGACAGGATGAATTCAAATAATATCTTTGGTTAGTTTTATTAGAATGTAGTCTGAACATAGCTTTCATATAAAATACACAGGCAGGATATATTAACTCTAAGATGACTATTACATAATTTACAAAAGCAATGCAAATATATGAAATAGAACAAACCCCCAGATATAAAATATGTAACTTCAACCAACAGTAGGCAAATGATAATATGTTTTTTACACAGTATAGAAAAGATAAACTTAAAACCCTTTGGTCATGAGCTCTTTGGAATATATGTTAGTGTCATACCTCATGAGTGTAAATATATGTAACCCATGCTAATTCCCGTGTTATATCAAAAGATGTCACATGAAATCTTATCAAGGTTACAGAACTAAAGTTATTGTTATTTGGTAAATGGTAAACAATTTGTCATTCTCATATGTTGACAATGCTGCCACCTTGACAGTTATCCCCACATTTGAGTCCTGAGACGTTTGCAGACCCCTAGCTGTGTCTACACAAGTGTTTTCCTATTGGGACAGCTCCTGTGCTGTTTGCACACACACAGGCTCCGACTGAGGTCCACTAGTTGCAGTGTACTCGGCCGACACAGAGAAACAGTAGGCCGAGTTTGGAATCAGATCAGTGAGAATGATGCTCTCGCCCTGCACCGTTATCTCCTCTGACTCTCTGGAGCTGTCCTGCTTCCTGATGAGCAGGCTGTACTGGGAGGCAGCTTCAACTGGAGACCACTCCAGGAAAATAACTGTTGGCAGTGCTTGTTTGACATGTAGTACTGGAGCTGGGAGGCCTCCTATTGGAAATAAACAAGTCACAGTTTTGAATTAGGTTCCAGCTTGACTTGAGAATAGTTTGTCCAATAAATAAGGAATGAAAAAGCTTGCATGAAAGCTAATTAATTTACATGCGTGGAAAGTAATCTTCACATTAGGCTTAACATTAGAAGCTAATCAAAAGCAGCATTCAAGTCTCCCCCTTCAAATGTTTCTTTGGACTAAACTATTTGTGGTTAAGAATTATGAATGTTTCCCAATTCTAAAATGTATTTTGTAAAATTTGTTTAAAAAAAATACAAACTCACCATTTTCTAGGGAGTGTCCACTTAGATCTCTTCTTCTGCGACCTGAGGAACCTGCTAAAGAAAGAAAGAAAGATTTCATAATTTAATTTGTTAAAAACAATCTTTTTTAATGTGTCAAATATTATATAACACACTTGCACGCACATACACACACACACTCCAGTCAGTTCCTACCGATTGACACACTTGTCTCTTCACTGTCCCCAGCTGTGTTGCTGGCTGTTATCACCAGGTCAGTGGAAGTGATGCTGTGCAGAGAACAGGACAGTCCTGCAGTGCTGCACAGCTGAGATCTGGGCGTCACACTGTTGTCGTACACGGTGTATGAGGTGGCAAACACTGACGTGTTCCATGAAACTGTGGCAAAGGTGTTGTTACCACTGTACTCCACTGCTATTGGTGGACATGGAGCTAGGAGAAGAGAAATTACAGTTAGATAAAACATCAGGAGTCTTTGTTTAAAATGTCAGGCTTTTCCCTATTGTTGAAATAGTTGTGATGAAATGTCTGAAAGTAAGCCAGCAGCCAATAAATAGAATCAGAAATCATTCCGAAAACAAACACACATCTCTCATGCGAAATAACCAAAATGTCTCTTTGAAAGATTATTGTATTCATGTAGCCTAGAAAAAAGCGGCGTCTTCTGCCTACAGGCCTCCATCACTCTGCAGGAAATAACTTACTTAGAAAAGATGTTTCCAAGGCATTTAAGCTATTGATTGGAACATAATTCTCCAGCTAGATGGTCTAGTAGACCTTTGATTCAATTTCAAGTTTCAAGTTACAAGGCTTTATTGTCATTTGCACATTAGCTACAGTGTAGATATGGCAATGAAACGTAGGTCACAGGCTCCTCCAACAGTGCAACATATATATAGGACATAGAACAAATAAAACAGATAAAATAATGCAAGAGAATGTTTGGAGATGTGCAAGTAAATACAAATAAGGAATATAATAGAAATAGTGCAAGAAGAGTCTATATACACAAGTAAATGGAATGATATATTAGATAAATAATTAGCAAAATGCAAACAGATGATTGTTTATGGATGTTCTTTAAAAAGTTCAGGTGTTTAATAGATTGTTGATATAATGGGTCACAGTAGGAAAAGGAGAGGTGTAACTAATAAAATGAATGATGCCTCTGTTAAAGTAGAATATGGAACAATGTGCTGAGCTGTGCTGGAGTTTAAGTACTCAAGTAAAAGTACGTGTTTGAGGTAATTGTTATCAAAGGCCGTGAAATCCAGGATGTAAGAATGTTTGAACAGAAGCTTGAGTGTTAAGTGTAGTTTACCTGTTGTACCACTGAGCGGCACAGAGGGCTGGCTGGTACCACCAGTGTTCCTGCTCTCCACTGTAGCCCAGTAGGATGAACCGCAGGGGAGAGGAATCTCAAAGTGCGTCATGCTTGTCCAATAGGAAGAGATCTCAAACAGGGCCTGGCTATCTCCCAGCAGACTTCCGTTTAACTCCAGCAAATACTCAGTGTCTCTACAGGTGATCTGAGACCAGTTGAAGTACAACATCTGGGCTTCATTCTGCATCGTAAAGAACTCCACATCAACACTGTCTGGGGGACAAGGGGCTGAGCGAAAGAGATAGAGAGGATTATTTAATGTAATAATCAATTTCAGTGCAAATGTTTCTAAGTTATTGGACCAGCTCTTGTACCTGCTCCACTCTGCACTGGTTCACTGACGGAGCTGTTGCATGTCCCATCTGAGGCCTGAACAGTGAAATTGTAAAGTGTTCCACAATCAAGGCCCTGGATGGTGCAGCTGGGATTTGTGCTTTCACAGTACAGCATGTCTCCATTTTCGGCCTGGGCACAGCCATAGTAGTCCACAGCGTTATCTCCGGGAGTCCATGACAACAATGCGGACTGATTGTTACAGTGTGAAATAACTGAGAGACCATCTGGCTGGCAGGGACCTGGACAGAAAAGAAAAGAAAGATATGATAAAACTGCTGAAACAAATATCCTTAGGGCATATTTGGTCAACATATGAATGTACACAGGTATTCTCTATCTATATAAAGACAACTACCTGTGTTAAGTGTAGCGTTTTGACTGGCTTTGCTGGTGCAGTTCTCGCGGCTGGCAGTCACAGATATGTCATACTGCTGGCCACAGTGGAGCTCCGATATGCTGCAGTTACTGGAGGTGGTGTTGCATGTATGCACATGTCCATTTGCGCCCATTGCGACCACATGATATGTTTCAGCTACAAGAGAGGGGCTCCAGGACACCAGCGCACTGTCGTCCGCACAGGTTGACCCAACCACCACGTTACTGGGTGGACACGGCTCTGTGAAAAAGTGGGAAATAGTGATGTTTTTTACACTGATGCAACAATCAGGATTTAGGAGCATGGATTTAGAATCTGATAACAGTTGGTGTGATTTTGGTCATTTTTAATCAAACCACCAATGACTGTTGGTCAAAACAACCCGATAAAGATCTGGCGGTGCAGAAAAAACAGTTTTGTGTGTTTTATATACGTTTTATAAATATACCTACAGATTAAAAAAAATATATATATTTTTTTTGTCCCTGACAGTTAATATTATGGAGAAATGTTAAGGCGTTTTAAAGGAAAACTACTTCTTGACATAATATCGCAAATGTTCACACATTATTGTGTTATTAATTGAGTGATGGTGGGTGGATTTTGTCATTTTTGGATGGAGCCATGGTAGTGATTTGCACCTGTTTACAGTCTTTATGCTAAGATTGATGGATTCATATTTACTGGACAGATATGAATTTGGTATTTATATTATCATCCAAGTCTCAGCAATAACCAAAGAAGCAAAATGTCAGACTGTTGCACAGGTCAAAGGAAAAATGGGAACCACTCATCAAACAATACTGTCCTTCAAAGTTAGCACTTGAAAAGATGGTATGAAATGCATGACAAAAATCAACAGAAATCGACATACCCATGCTTATTCTGTATGGTGGACTCCTCAGACTGCTGCACTGGTCTGATGAAGCGGCAACAATGATGGTGTAATGGAGACCACACTGGGCTCCATGGAGGTAGCAGCTAGTGCCAGTATTATTGCAGGAGAGGTAGGTGTGATCACTGGCTTCTGCTGTGGCAGTGTACACAGTGTTTCCCTCTGCATCCCACAACACGAGGATTGAGGAATTGTGGCACTGAGCAACCGCTGTGATACCAGAGAGGGTGCAGGGAGCTGGGGGAACAGACAGATTTCATTTACTGACACTGCAGAATGTATGCATTTATGTTTTACTCAGGGTTGGGCATTATTTCAAATTGAGATGCATATTTCTTTCAACAAGTCAGAAATGTGTTACCTGTCTGCAGGTCGATCGTGGCGCTTGGCTGACTCTCACATTTGCTGTTTTTAGCAATAACACTGAAGTTATATAGTGAACCACAGGCCAGGTCTTCCACCTCACAGGTTGTGTTGGAGGAAGAGGTGCAGTTGCCTGTATAGTTGTCTTCACCTACAGCTGACACAGTATAGCTGTCTGCCCCTGGAGCAGCGTCCCATGATATCCAGGCAGAATTTGTCACACAATCGAGCCTGCCACTAATTCTCTCAGGCTGGCAGGGAGCTGGAAAGTAAAAATGACATAACATTTACTTTGGTGACAGAAAGGATATGTGTATGCAAGGATGAATGGCTGTCGAAGCTTGCTTACCTGACATGATACTGTAGGCCTGACTCTGCTGGCTTCTGCAGGCGCCTCTGATGGAGGTGACATGAACACTGAATGTTTTCCCACATGTCACATTTCTGATGGAACATGCAGTGTTTGTGGTGTTATAGCCACCGATGGTTACTCCATTGTCTGCAGTTACTGATGTCAAAAAGTGGTCTGCTTCTCTGACGGCATCCCAATAAATCATCAGGTCGTTTGACAAACAGTCGACCTCAGCACTCAGGTTCTGAGGCGGGCAGGGCGCTGGGAATAAGTAGAGATTTTAAAGTTAGAAATGTGTGTTGTAAACGGCACAAAAGTAAAAACATGTGTTAATAAAACTGTGTTCATTTAGTTTGTTAACAAACCCTGTGATGTGAGTGTTTAAATGTCTGTATCAACAATAACTTGTTTTATGTGCGTGAGACAACTTTCATATTGCTTCAAGTAACGTTTTATCATGTGGGTCTGTTACTTTCTTATATTTTCCTAAGTTTCTTTTAAAAACAATTTCAGTTTTTACTTATAACATGGAAAATGTTGTAGGAATGTCCTTTAAGGAAAATATAGTTTAAATCCAAGCAAATAGTAATTTGTCATTAATTTCTGATTGAAAGCTTGATGCTGAATATGAAGATGTAGAAGCCCTTTTTTTGCTTCACTGACTTAAAGCTTGGGTTAAACAATCAAATTATTTAAAACGAATTCCTTAGAGGTGTGATAAACACTGTCTACATTTTTCCATTTTATTGATACCAAATGAAAAGAAGAAATCTTAACAAACTTTAGACGACGTACCCATATAGATGATGGAGCTGTTGCTAGGCAGGCTTGTGCAGTTGCCATTCTTTGCCCTCACTACAACAGTGTACTCCTCTCCACAGTGCAGGTCGTTCCAGCTGCAGTCGGTGCTGTTGGTGAGACACTGGTGGGCGTGGCCATCAAGCCCAGTTGCTACAGCAACATATGTTTCAGCGCCATCACTGGACCCCCAGCTGACTGAGCCCATGTTAAACTCACACTGTGCATAGGTCGTCACATCGCTGGGGGGGCATGGTGCTGGGAGAGAGAGAGGAAGGTGGAGAACTCAACTAAACACAAGCTTGTGACAGAAGTTATGCATTGCGAATTGTTGTCTCAGATATTAGATTATACCAGTTTTGAAGAAGGCGGGGCTGCTGGGGATGCTGTCACAGTCACTGCCTTGTGCTTGTACAGTCACATTGTAGTCCTGTCCGCATGGTAAAGTAGCTGCCGGAATACTCTGGGTTGCGTTGTGGATCTTCACGTATCCAAGGCTCCCAGTGGTTGTTACTAAGTAATTCATGACACCACTTGCTTGGTACCAGGAGATCTGGACCTGCTCACTCTGACAGAGCACCTGAGCAGAAACGTTCACAGGCTGGCAAGGCTCTGAGGAGAGCATAATAAATAAAGAGAGAGAGAAAAATTAAGATGATGACCAATTTAGCAGAAACAAATAAAGTACTAGATCCTTCAGTAAAAGTAGAAATTCCTATATGATGAAATATTAAGTTAATTAATCGATTAGGAGTCGGGCACAAAATTAATCTGCACCGATTTTGATATTTTTCTTTGTTTATCATAAACATTGACATCTTATAGACAACATGATTTATTGTTAAATGACAAAATGATTGCTTTCATAGCCTTAGAGTATTTTGTACATTAAATTAGTGTTTTGTTATTTCTAATGGCTTAATAAGTAAGCAACATTTAAATATAGCACCTGGTGGAGATGAAGCTAAATGTAACCTCTTTATATGTTTGTTAATTGAATCACTCAAACAAACAGTGCATCTATTTTTTTAAATGGTCACATAAAATCTGCCATGTAACCATAGCTATCAAAATAAAAAAAAAATAAAAAAAAGTGGTGTGATAAACACTGTCTACATTTTTCCCTTTTATTGATACCAAATGAAAAGAAGAAATCTTAACAAACTTTAGACGACGTACCCATATAGATGATGGAGCTGTTGCTAGGCAGGCTTGTGCAGTTGCCATTCTTTGCCCTCACTACAACAGTGTACTCCTCTCCACAGTGCAGGTCGTTCCAGCTGCAGTCGGTGCTGTTGGTGAGACACTGGTGGGCGTGGCCATCAAGCCCAGTTGCTACAGCAACATATGTTTCAGCGCCATCACTGGACCCCCAGCTGACTGAGCCCATGTTAAACTCACACTGTGCATAGGTCGTCACATCGCTGGGGGGGCATGGTGCTGGGAGAGAGAGAGGAAGGTGGAGAACTCAACTAAACACAAGCTTGTGACAGAAGTTATGCATTGCGAATTGTTGTCTCAGATATTAGATTATACCAGTTTTGAACAGTGAATCTATTTTTTTAAATGGTCACATAAAATCTGCCATGTAACCATAGCTATCAAAATAAAAAAAAAATAAAAAAAAGTGGTGTGATAAACACTGTCTACATTTTTCCCTTTTATTGATACCAAATGAAAAGAAGAAATCTTAACAAACTTTAGACGACGTACCCATATAGATGATGGAGCTGTTGCTAGGCAGGCTTGTGCAGTTGCCATTCTTTGCCCTCACTACAACAGTGTACTCCTCTCCACAGTGCAGGTCGTTCCAGCTGCAGTCGGTGCTGTTGGTGAGACACTGGTGGGCGTGGCCATCAAGCCCAGTTGCTACAGCAACATATGTTTCAGCGCCATCACTGGACCCCCAGCTGACTGAGCCCATGTTAAACTCACACTGTGCATAGGTCGTCACATCGCTGGGGGGGCATGGTGCTGGGAGAGAGAGAGGAAGGTGGAGAACTCAACTAAACACAAGCTTGTGACAGAAGTTATGCATTGCGAATTGTTGTCTCAGATATTAGATTATACCAGTTTTGAACAGTGAATCTATTTTTTTAAATGGTCACATAAAATCTGCCATGTAACCATAGCTATCAAAATAAAATAAATGGGAGTAAAAAGTACAATATCTGCTATAGATGCAATGTGTTGAAGTAGAAGAGTAACAGCAGACAATGGAAATACCCAATTGATGTAGAATAATCTTAAAAATGTTACTTGAATGAAGTACTTGGTTAAAGAGTATTTAGTTACTTTTGACCATTGAAACGGGCAGAAGTAACTAAGCTTCTTCAGTACCTGTTTGGATGGACACGGTGCTGCTGGCCTGGCTCCTGCAGCCTTGACTGTCTGCTGTTACGGTAAAGTTGTACGTCTCTCCACAGTCCAGACTGGCAAACTGACACGTAGAGCCTGTAGAGTTACACGTCTGCACCGGCCCTCCTGATGTCTTGATGGCGTTAGCTACGTACAGCTCAACATCAGATCTCTCCTCCCAGGACAGGACTGCGGTGTGGGAGCCACACTGCAGGGACACATCTACACGCTGAGGAGGACAAGGACCTACAAAAAGATGTGAACAGAGGTTATATTTTGAACAAATTAAGCCTTGGTTCATATTTGCCACTTATGAGGATTGGATTTGCTGTAACACTCACGCGTTGTGAGGTTAGCTTGCATCGGCGCACTGAGGCTGCACTGTTCGTTGCTGGCGGTGAAGTTGAGGTTGTAGGTTTCTCCACAACTTAAACCCGTCACGTTACAGCTGTTCGGCTGAGTTTCACACAGTGACAGAAGACTTCCACTGACCATGGCTGTCAGGGAAAAGTTTGCTGCGCCATAAGTAGCATTCCAGGACACAACGGCAGCGCCATCATGAATACAGTCCACCTCTATCTCTACCTCTCTGGGCAGACATGGAGCTGAGGAACACATCAGTATGTATATGAATTGACACCCAAAGAAACAGATACTCAGCATGCAGTTTCGCTTCTGTTTGTTTACCTGATGTAAGCGAGACCACTGTGCTGTCAGAGCTGTTGTACTGCTGACCCAGCGCCTTGACCCAGACATTGTACTCTGTGCCACACATCAGCCCTGAGACAACACATTGGGTACTTGTGTCTGTGCCATAACAGGAAGCGGAGTGGCCACCTTGGTTGTCAAAGTAGGCGACATAACCCACAGCGAAGTCACTCTGCTGCCAGGAAACAGTCGCAGTGAGTTGTTCACACGCCATACTGACTTGAACGTTGGTGGGTGGGCAGGGTTCTGAGTAGGAAGAAGACACACACATTTACATGAGTTGGAAAAACACATTAAGAGCCATATCTGCATCTAAAGGAATATTTTTTCGAATCTGATGACGAACCTGTCATGTGGTGGTAGGGTTCAGAAGTGCTGTTGCAGGCCAGGTTTTGTGCCATCACAGTGACGTTGTAGATCTGACCACACTGCAGACCATTGATGGAGCAGGTGGTGTTGGTGGTGTTACAGGTGACCCCCGAGCCCAGGTCAGCCACAGCCTGGACAGAGTATGAGGTGGCACCTCGTGCTGCAGCCCACATCACCTGGGCAGTGCCCACATTGTGGTGGACGGAGAGATTCATGGGGACACAGGGCTCTGGAGGCAGAAAGGGTTAACTTAGTGGCAGACAGTTACATTAAATTCAATGAAGAAACAATGATAGTGCTCTACTCCTAGCCTTAAACGCAGTGATATTGTGATTTATGACATTTTCAAAATCACAACGAAAATACATAAATTCACATTATTTCTTTTTTTTACTTTGAATGTAAATAAAGTGACATAAAAAAACGTACAAAGCTTATAGAAAAAGTGACATGGAAGGCGGGGGTCTGGGCTATTAATGCTTTGTTAATTAATGTGCCCCTGGCCTCCTATCGTTTTCTAAAAGTAGTCCCCTGGTTGTGAAAAGGTTGGTGTTCCACTAACACATTGACTGACATGCTACAAGGTACAGGTAAACCCGCTGTACCTGTGGTGAGGTGTCCTGCCATGTGAGCAGTTTGGTTGCAAGTATTTCCCAGAGCCTTCACAGTGACATTGTATTCCTCTCCACACTGCAGGGAGCTCAGCTGACAGTTGGTGTTGTTGGTGGTGCAGCTGGTGGTGTGACCTGATGAAGCCGTCAGCTCAGTAACACAGGACACAACTCCAACGCTGGGCTGCCAGGATATTGTAGCAGAGTCGGCCTCACAGTCCATAATGGCTGTGATGCTGCTCGTCTGGCAAGGTTCTGTGAGGACAAGAAGAATACAACTTTACTTTTAACAGCTATACCATCATCACACTATATAGCAAACAAACTATTACTGAGATAATGCATTAAGTGAGAAGTCGTATGATTTTCACATAGACTTTTAACCATAAGGAGTCGCCCCCTGCTGGATGTTAGAAAGAGTGCATTTTCTTTATTTTTAAGAGTAAAGACAATGCACTTTTTTGGTGCCTCTCTTTACCTGTAAATGAGACCACTGCGCTGTCAGAGCTGTTGTACTGCTGACCCAGTGCCTTGACCCAGACGTTGTACTCTGTTCCACACATCAGCCCTGAGACAACACATTGGGTACTTGTGTCTGTGCCATAACAGGAATCGAAGTGGCCACCTTGGTTGTCAAAGAAGGCGACATAACCCACAGCGAAGTCACTCTGCTGCCAGGAAACAGTCGCAGTGAGTTGTTCACACGCCTTACTGACTTGCACGTTGGTGGGTGGGCAGGGTTCTGAAAGAAGGGAAAACACACATAAAAATCTAGACTGTAAATATGTTCACATGTCTTTCCCGATGAGATGACGAACCTGTCATGAGGCGACTAGTTTCAGAGATCATACTGTCACAGACGGTGTTTCGTGCCATCACAGTGACGTTGTAGATCTGACCACACTGCAGGCCGTTCATGGAGCAGGTGGTGTTGTTGGTGTTACAGGTGACCCCCGAGCCCAGGTCAGCCACAGCCTGGACGGAGTATGAGCTGGCACCTCGTGCTGCCGCCCACATCACCTGGGCCGTGCTCACATTGTAGTGGACGGAGAGATTCATGGGGACACAGGGCTCTGGAGAAAAGACAAAGATGTTAGTGATACAGTAAATGGAGAACATAGTGGTTTGTTCAGACATAAAATCATTAAAGATTGTGGTCATTATTGTTCACTTGCACTGATTTGCTTAAACAAAAATCAGGCTCTCCCACTGATTCAACATAAAAAAATTGCAGACAAGGGCCGACTTGAAAATGTGGCCATTAGGTGCTAGTATAAGTCCCAACATGGGCGAGTCATGATAACATATATTAGTTTTTACCACTATGCTTAAAGAACATTTGAACAAGAAGAACTAAAATGATTCTATTTGCTATAGAAAAAGTAAAAAAAAGTTTAAATGTCACAGCTATTGTCAACACTGGTTTTAGCTGCGTCACCCCTAAAATGTCCTGATATAATATTCACATATTTTTCCAGGGCAATTGATGTGCTAATTGGGTTAATGTCACTCTTTTAGGTTTGGGTCTGTGTTAAAGTATCAACAGTTCCAGTTTAAGTTGAGCTCACCTGTAACCAGCCAGGCGGGGGTGCTGGCAGGGCCAGAGCATCCTGTGTGCATGGCCTCCACTACAACAGAGTAATGCTGTCCACAGACCAGGTCGCTGAGGTCACAGGATGTGCCCATCTCACTGCAGGAGGAGTTGTGTCCATTTAAGGAGGTTGCTTGAACGCTGTAGGCTGTGGCTGCAGACGCGCTACTCCAGCTCACCACAGCATTAAGTGTAGTACAATTCAGTCCAGCTGACACATTGGTGGGAGGGCATGGGGCTAGAAAAGAAGAAAGACACAGTTGAGAAGAATAAAGATGAGTGGAAACATAAATTATGGAATACTTTAACATTTTGGGAAATATGCTTATTTGTTTTATTGCATGTAAATGAGCTAACAAAAACATGAAAATACTTAAAGGTGATAATACACTAATAACAACAGTTAGCTGCATATAGATTCCCTAGAACATATCCTGTTTGTTTAATTCATATAAAAGCTTAAGTGTAAAACAGACATTAGCAAGATGCAATAACTTCATTTATGTCTGCAGGTTGCTAGCCGTGTCCCCATGTTTCCAGTCATTATGCTAATCTAAGCAAACCAGCTGCTAGCAGTAGATTCATATTTAGTTTACAGACCAGTGGTATCAATCTTCTTATCTAACTCTCAGAAAAGAGCAAATAAGCATATTCCTAAAACAAACTGTTGCTCTAAGAAATCTTCAGCGTACCTGAGAGCTTCTCTATAGGAGTGCTCATCTCGCTCATGCACACATTGGTGTGTCCCATCACAGTGAAAGTGTAGAGCTGACCACAGGTCAGGTTCAGGAAGGAGCAGCGGCTCTCAGTGGAGTCGCAGGTGGAGTTTACACCTGATGCAGACATGGCTTTAACAGTGTAGTTCTGTGTTGTGCTGCTGTGCTCGTTCCACTTCACTGTCATGACGTTGCTGCTACAGTTCTCCTCGACAGTGGTGTTCTCAGGTTTACACGGAGCTAGAGGTGGTTGAACAAACAGGAATATTTCCTTTAAAATCATATTTCTTCAGCAAACATAATGTCAGTTATGGGTGTCAATGTGCTACACTGACCAGACTGAACCTTGTAGTCAGATCCAGCTATGATTTCGCAGTGAATGGAGGAGGAGGTGACAGCCACCTCGTAGAGCTTTCCACACAGCAGGTCATGAATGGAGCAGAAGTTGGAGGTTGAATTACAGGAGGCTCTGTGTCCATCGGTGCTGATGGCCCAGGCGGTGTAATCATCTGAGCCGGGGGTCTGTGCCCAACTCACATTCATCACGTTGGTATCACACTCTAACTTGGCTGAGACATCATCTGGGAGACAGGGAGCTGTGGAAGAGAGTTTGATGACAGGTAAGAGCATACTCAACAGCAAGGGGGTTTACAAGTCTGTGACTGTGGACATCCCTTGTCTATTGATCCAATAGACAAATCAAGCTAGGAAAGCCGAATGTGCTGTTTAACATAACTTCACACTATTTGTTTCTGACCCTAGGGTACCAGGAAAACAGTAAACACTCCGTATATCCCTGAACAAACTTCAATTCACTGCTTCCCCTAAAACAGTTTGGATTCCCCCCTGGGGAGGCCCACTTTAACCTTCACCTTTTCTGTATGTAAAGGTTGTGTTGACATTGTTTCATTGAATCCATGAGTGACAAAACTGTTCATTAGTCTTAACTGCTTGGTTGTGCCTCAGGATGTGCTATCTTCTTCACCTTGACATATATGGAACTATGTTCACTTTCTTTTTATAAATAAATTAACATAGTTATCAGTGTGAAAAGTCATGGTGTGTGGCGCAGTGGGTTGTGCGTTGGTGGTCGGATCAGGGGATCACAGGTTCAAACCCCACTGCAGTCAGCATGTCGTTGTGTCCCTGGGCAAGACACTTCACCCCAAATTGCTCCTGTGGGGATTGCCCACAGTATTGAGTATGTAAGTCGCTTTGGATAAAAGCGTCTAGCAAGTAACATGTCATGTAATGTCATGGAACAGTTCCTTTATATCTTACCGGACTCAAAAGTAATGTCAGCATGTTTGCTGCTGTTGCAGCTGTTAGTGGAAGCTACCAGTGTAGCTGTGTACTCCCTGCCACAGGGAAGTCTCACAGCGCAGGAGGTGTCATTGGAGGAGCAGGATGTGACGTGTCCGTGCTCTCCCGTCACCTCCACAGTGTAGAAAGCTGCTCCACTGCTCTCAGACCAGGAGAAGTTCCCTCTGTTTGTCCCACAGTCCACATGAGCAGTCAGGTTGGTTGGCTGACAAGGAGCTGGAAGAAGTGAAAAACGGATTTTAGATTATGATCTTTCTTCACTTCAGGTAAACTCTTGCAGACGTTGCCATAGAAACACATCCTACCTGTGCTTATTTCTATGGGCGGACTGTAGCTGCTGCGGCAGTTTCCATCCTGTGCTGCCACGCGGAAAGCATATCTCTGTCCACACAGCAGGTTGGTCAAAGTGTGTGAGGTATTAGAGGTAGTGAGCACTGAAGGAGTGTGTGTGCCTATCCTCTCAGTGTGTAAAGTGTAGTTGGTCCCTGACACCTGACTCTGGTCCCATGTGAGGCTCAGGGTGTTATCATCGCAACTAACTTGGCCCAGCAAGTTGGTAGGTGGACACAGAGCTAGGATAATTCAGAATGGATAAGAAAAGTGTCAGTGCACAATTGCTGCATCTATATTTCAACAGTTTTCGCTTAACAGTGTCCTCTCACCTGTTCTCAGCTCCACGGCTGAGCTGGGCTCGCTCCAGCAGCCTCTGTCTACAGTCACAACAGTAACATTATAGGTTTCCCCACAGTGGAGGTCAGTGAAATTGCACGAGTTGGAATAGTTAGAACTGCAAGTGTGATTGTGTCCATCATTTGCAGTTGCTGTTGCAATGTACATCTCAGCCCCTGTTACATGAGACCATGAGACAGTGCTGTCGTCACAAGCCAGAGACACAGTGACATTACTGGGAGCGCAAAGACCTGGGGAGAGGAAAAAAAGTGTTTAATGTTGAGCTGAAATGTAAGGATATCTCAGATGTAGAACATGGTTTCAAGCCTTTCAGCACCTGCTTTAAAGATGTAAACTGCACTTTGTTGTCCTGTGCATGTCTCAGAGTATGGTGTGACGGTGATGTTATAGGTTTCACCGCAGTGGATGTCAGGTAGTGGACAGCTGGTAGTGTTGGTGTGGCAGTGGTGTGCGTGTCCATCCCTGCCCGTCACTGTCACATTGTATCCCACAGCACCGGGGCTTCCTACCCACCAGACCAGGGCTGAGTGGTTGAAACAAACCAGTGTGGCGCTAACATTCTGCGGGGCACACGGGACTGGGGAACAAAAAGAAAAGAAACAAGGAAGTTATTTACTAACAGTGCATCAACTGAGACTTTGTAAGGTTCAGAAGTTCATTCAATTGCTTGAGATTTTGGGAAATGTGCTTTCTTGTCAATAGTTGGTATATAAAGATGAAGCAAGAAGCCGGTTTGATTAGCTTAGCCCAAAGACAGCTAGCCCGGATCTGTAAAGTGTCTAAACTTTAGAGATCATTTACACTTTATATCATACACCACAAAAAACAGCTTTAAACCATCCTTTACCAGTACCTTTATAATCCGTTTGACTACTTTTCTTCATTTTGCCTGGTTTATAAGCTCTACATAGGTGGAATAATTACCTGTTTCCAGAGATTCGCTGACACTGGGGGTGCTGATGCACTCCTCCCCCTGAGCCTGGACTGTTACATTTAAATCCAAGCCACAGGGAAGATTGTGGAATGAACAACTAGTGTTTGTTGTCTGGCAGCTATCCTGATAGCCTCCTCCTGCTACCTGAGCCAGGAAGCTGAGGTGTCCCACAGGGTCAGTCCAACTGAACTCTGCTGTGTTGCTGCCACACGTATATTGCTTTGATACAATTCTTGGAGAACAGGGGGCTGAAAAGAAAGCATAAGACAAAGTATATGTAGGTTTAGCAGAAAGCATATCTATTTAATATTCTCTAACAACATTCACACACTTACCTGTGGTAATGTTGGTGCTTGAGCCAGGTGCACTGTCGCACTGGCTTCCTCGTGCAATGACTGTGGTCATGTAGGTTTGACTGCAGAGCAGATCTGTCAGGGTGCATGTAGCAGTAGCTGAGCTGCATGAAACTGTGTGCCCGTTTGGTGCTGTCGCATTAACTACGTAACTTGTGACATCAGCCATCGGCGTCCATGACAGAGAGGAAGAATTGGTGCCACAGATGAGGCTGCTGTTCTGGATTGAGGGAGAGCAGGGAGCTGAGAGGGAGCAAAGAAGCGGAGAATTAGTTGTTTCTAAAGACCTTAAAATAAAAAAGTTTATCTTTTTGCATTTAAAAGCTTAAGGCTGTCCAGGTTTCCCTCTTTTCTACCTGTCATCAGGATTGTACTGATGCTTCCAGTGCTGTTACAGGTGGCATCCTCAGCAATCACAGTCAGGTTGTAAACCTTTCCGCACTGCAGCTGCTTCAGCTGACAGGAAGTCATATTGCTCCTACAGGAAGTATAATACGGAGAGCTTTCCTCTCGAGCGAGTACAGTGTAGGCCACGGCCCCGGCAGCAGCTTCCCAGGACACCGTGGCTGCATCCGAACCGCACTGGAGGACACTGGTCACATTGATAGGGTCACATGGTCCTGGAAGACAAGATAGAGAGGGGGAATTAAATACATGATGTAAAGTCAAAAAACGTTTTACATAAAATGTTCAAAAATATGTTAACTCAACCTGTTATCACAACAGTTTGACTGGGAGAGCTGATGCAGTTCCCCTGGGATTTCACTGTAACGTTGTACTGGCTGGCACACTGCAGGCCGGAGACAGAGCATGTGAGGTTTGAAGAGGAGCAGGTTTCAGAGAAGCCGTTGGGGCCCATCACTGTCGCTGCGTAGGAGGTGGCACCAACCGAGGCGTTCCAGGACGCCAGGACAGAGTTTGTGCCACAGTCTGTCACTGCTGTTAAACTCTGAGGGGGGCAGGGTGCTGTAGGAAGATCACAGTGCTTGAAGTAAATGAATGTAACAAAACACATTTAGTGGAAATGATCATCCTTATATCATCAACATCTTTATTACCTGTCTCAACAGTCTGTGGGGGGCTAAATTGTCCACTGCAGCTGCCAGAGGAAGCTTTGACAGACACATTATAAGTCTCTCCACACTGAAGACCGATCAGCCTACAGCTGCCACTGCTAGTTTGGCATAAGACTGAACTGATATTTTCAGCCAGAGGCACGGCAGCGACACTGTAGTTGAGGGGCACAGCCGAAGAAATGTTCCAGCTGACCGTTGCATCATTCGTGCCACACATCAGGCTCGTACTGAAGTCCTCTGGAGGGCATGGTACTAACAGAGACAGAACAGTGTTTTAATAACTCCAAAAAGTGATTTCTCAGTTAAAACTTGTTCCTGAAGGATTCCGGGATTCCACCGGGTCCGTCTGCGCCGCGTTACGGCTGCGCCGCGGTTTTGGTCCGACCTCCTCCAGCGTCATACTCAACCGGGCGCGTTTCAGGAGCGTTTCAGAAGTGGAGCGTCTTGCGTGCCGGCTCACAGTTTTTGTTGATTTGGGCATATTTCCTGGACAGTCTACTTTGTACAGACAAAGTTAATAATAATTGTAATAGTCCAGTTATAGACAACATGAATCAAAGATGTGTTGCTGTATTTTAGTGGTAAAAAAATGCATTCATCATCATAATTATTCTATATATATAATTTACACAGTGCCTGTAAACCGGAGGAGAACGCTGGCATTTATTCTCCTACTTGAAAGACTACGGAGGACTAGCAAATTGTGTTTATTTTGGGGATTGACTGGATGCTCTGACCGTTCCACTTCCTGCCCGGCGCTATGCAACGCCTTGCGTTGCGTCGAAAATAGACCAGCCGCCTATTTTTAGCGGAGCCCAGCACCGAGATGCTTCTGGGACGCTTCTGGGACGCTTCTAGCCGTAACGCGGCACGTCTGGTGGAATAGCACCCATTGACGAGAGTGGCCGCGATCGCTGTGAACGCTGCCACGCAGCCGTAACGCGGCCGTAACGCGGCCGTAACGCGGCGCAGACGGACCCGGTGGAATCGAGGGGAGTCAGACATTTTTGGAAATATGCTAGCAGTTATCTTGCTGAGAAAAAGATCAGAAGATTGATACCTTCTGTTATCAATCTTCATGTGAAATCCTCAATAGGAAATGTAACAAGTATATATATCACACACAATATCTAACAATTATCTTGATGCATGTTGTTATAGTTACAGTGTGTTGTTGCAGAATGAGATAAAAAGAAAAAGGTTCAAAAGCTTCATCAACCATCTCACAGTATTTGAGCCTAATAATATGATATGGATTTATGATGAGAGAGAAAAGTCCTCATGTTGGTTTCCAACATTTTCCCAACAACAAATAATGTTGTTCATTTCATGGGAATTACTGCTAGAAACACTATTCTAAAGTTACTTAGCCTGGATGAAAGTACATTAAAAAAATCCATACTATTGATTTAAACCTGTGATGGGCTTTTCACATCAGAGATGGTCCCAGTCACAGAAGATGTGGTGTCTGATTAAACGTGGCCAGACGTTTCTCTCTGTACCTGGGTTTTGTCTGAAGGGGGCACTGTAGTTGCTGACGCATGTGCCATCAGTGGCAGTCACAAGGATGTCGTAGGCCTGTCCACAGACCAGGTTACTCAGGGTGCAGTTTGGGCTGGAGCTGCTGCAGGTGAGGTTCTGTCCGCTGCTGATGGCTTCCAGGGTATAGCTCACTGCGTTGGCACTAGGTGGCCAGGATACCTGCGCAGTGGCAGCGCTACACATCCGCTGACTGGATACATTAGAGGGAGAACATGGCTCTGGAGAGGGAAACAAAACAAACCTGGATAAATCTTATAAATAACAGCAAAAGCACTATTTAATAGGAAAATAAACACTCATTCAAGATTTGCTGGTGGTCAGGGTTGTGTTACCTGTGTTTAAAGAGACAGTGTCACTCAGTTGACCTGTGCAGTTGTCATCAACTCCTGACACACCAATAGTGTAAACCTCCCCACACTGGAGTCCAGGGAGGCTGCAGGAAGTGTTGTTGGTCATGCACTGTGACTTGTGACCCCCGCCGCTCACAGCAACAGCAGTGTAGTATTTGGCACTGTCACTGGCCACCCATGACACAGGAACAGGATCCGAAGCACATGTGTGCATGGCTGTGACGTTTGTGGGAGGACACGGCACTGAAGGAAAATAGAGATGGAGTAGTTTGAGACAGAATTCTTTCTACATCCTTAAATGTGATAAATCTGCGTTTCTCACATGTATGCACTGGGACCTCTGCGCTGGGCAGACTGAAGCATGTCCCGGTGACAGAGAAGGCGATCACAGAGTAGATGCTTCCACACATCAACCCTTCTGTGATGCACTGGGTCTCTGTAGAGTTACAGTACAGAGGCTGACCCATTCCTCTGGAGATGATGGTGGTGTAGTTCTCTGTAGGAACTGAGATGTTCCAGGTGACCGTCAGTTCGCCGGTAACACAGGCCACACTGGCCATCACATCCTCAGGACCACATGGCACTTAAACAAGAGGGGAGAAGTGACATCATAAGTAATTTGCAATGGAAACAGAAACAGTTGAACCCTCTTAATTTACTACCTGAGTCCATGGTGATTTGTGACGAGGTGGACTGACAGTTTCCATTATCATAGGTGACGGTGACGTTGTATGTCTTTCCACAGGGCAGAGAGCGGATTTTACAGTCGTTGACCGTGTTGCTGGTGCAGTTGAGCTGATCCCCGCTCTTATCCACTATGGTTGCTGTGTAGAGGCCTGTGGGGTTATGGTTCTGCCACACTATCAGAGCATGGTTGGCATCACAGTCTCTGAACGCCTCAATATTTGTTGGAGGACAAGGAGCTGATGGAGAGGCAGAGGATTTAGTTGATTAGATGAACAGTGCATCCAGCTTTGGAGCATTTTAAAAGGAGGTAGATGTTAGTAAAAACTTGAAGGATAACCAGAGTTTCCAGTTAGTAAAAATGTTGTTGCAATGTTTTTTTCTTCCTCCAAATATAATCATGAATCAACATTTTAAATCTAATTAGTATGTTTTCCAACCCTCTGACCTACCTGTCATAAAGTTAACTTGGTTACTGGAGCTGCTGTTGCACTTTATGTTGGTGCCGATAACGCTGACAGTGTAATTCTGTCCGCATCTCAGGTTTTCGATCAAGCAGTTGGGGCCCATTGAATTGCAACTGTGCACATTCCCATTGTCATCCTCAGCGACGGCAACGTAGAATATGACACCAATGTTTGTCACCCAGGTAACTCTAGCAGAGTCTTGGCTGCAGTCAACTGATACTGACGCATTAATTGGCTTGCAGGGAACTAAAGAAAGGAGAAGTTTGTGTTAAGACAATAACAAGCAAAAATCAAATCACATGTAAGTAAGTGTCTCACAGAGCTCCCAGTACCTACCAGTCTGAGCAACGCTTCCCAGTACCCTTTCAGTGGAGCAGTTGTCATTGGAGGCAACGATCCACACACTGAGATGTTCACCACATGGAATTCCCATTATCGCACAGCTGTTGGTGGCGGAGGTGCAGTTGTAGGTTTCTACAGTGTTCCCCTGTGCTTCTACAGTGTAAGAGAGAGCTCCTGCTGCAGAGTCCCAGGTTGTGATCAACTTTTCAGAGTGACAACCATCTCCCGTCCTAACGTTTGTTGGGAGACAAGGAGCTGCAGGAAAGGAGAAATAAAAAGGCTCACTTAAATATGGTGCAAATCCAGGGGCAATATCTTTAGAGGCAGAACACTGTTTTTAAAGGCAGAACACTTGATATTGGAGGGAAAAATGTAATTCCCTCCAATATCAAGATTCTACGGAAGAGGATTTTGGGATGTGTTCTGAGAAAAAAGTCAGAATTCTGATATTAAAGTCAGAAGTACGGGTACCTGTATAGAACCAACTTCAGTGAGAGACTCTCATAATGCAGTAGGGAACATTAGAGGAGGTAACGGACTTTTTGCGCGACAGAAGGGTCCCGGAGGAAACCATATTCCAAATGGAAGAACAAAAGGTGAGTTATAAATATATATGTGTTGTTTTGGCGTTCGTAAAAACAGCGAAAAGGCGTTAGAATATGAAATGGAGACAATGTTTAGCTAGCAGCAAGTGTGTTAGCTTATTCGCTAAGGTAATTTAATTCCCGGATCTAATCCTGTAAATAATGGGTTTAGTTCGATCGACAATGTTGATAATTTAATCTAGTAAATTACGAGTTTATATCAAAATCTAAAACATTAAGTTATAACCAGACTGTATACATTACAAATGTAATAATTACCCGTTCTAGCTACTTGAGTTTAGCCAAACAATTCAAAGGACAAAATCAACATAATGTACTGAAAGACCAATCTTTATTTTAAGGGTCCTCTCCTTCTTTTAAATGAAATCTTCAGACGTGAGATTTTAGTAATACAGTAATAGTAAAGTCAACCTAAAAAACTGAACCACTCTTAACAGTCACATTTTCTTTATTTATTATCTAAAGCATGTGTTACATTTATGTTCCCCCTCTCATATTCAGCATCTGAAAATGTTAGATAAAACATTCAAATCTGACTGCAGATTAGCACCATTTGTGTGTGACGTGACAAATTCTGCGGTACAAGGCACAAGCATTGTGAAGCTTATAAAATTAGGCAAATAGAAATAATCATCTCATCGATTGTACATGTTGAAATAGCAATGAAAAAGGTGCCTTCGTTCAGCTGACTGTGTTTCTTTTGCCACACTTCATAGACCTGACAATAACATACCTGTTCTGAGGTGCAACGTCACAAACAAATGATGGTTCCGTCAGCATGGAAGCATGTTACTACACAACTATTCAGTGTGCAGATCTTTGTTTTCACAATAAAAGTGTGGTTTCTCAGTGAATTTCCTCTATTGGTCTTGAATCTCATAACATCAGCTTTTTATTTTCCTTGTGGATGTTCTTTTTCATCAGAGAAGGAGAAAATGGTGATACAGCGGTGTCTTTCAGGCATGTCCTTACCTAACTGGAATGACAAGTGTTTTTTTTTTATTCAGCTGTGTACTCCAATCAGATTATCAATGAACAGTTCATCAACATTAAAATATCAGTTTTTATTAAAATAATATTTAACTGTTATCAAAACTTAAAGGTGGGGTAGGTAAGTTTGAGAAACCGGCTCGAGATACACTTTTTGTTATATTCCATGGAATGCTCTTAACATCCCGATAGCAATGAATATCTTAAGTGCTTTGACAAAAAATCCATAAAAAAATGTCATCTGTGGAAGCCGTAGTACTGTAAAAAGCAAGACCAATCATTTTAGCCGGCCCGGCTAAAATAACTGGATGGCCTACCTGCCTGTCAGCCTTCCATCTGTGCACAAACTTATCTCGTGCCCTCATTGGTCATGTGCGCGTTCGTGTGTGTTGGAGGAGGGGCTCTGTAAGGAAGTGGCAGATTTTTTCCGGCTGTGTATTTTCAAATTCTAGCTGGTTTCTCCAAAATGACCTACCCCACCTTTAATGTAGAATCATGCTGTTTGGTTGTGTCACTGCAATAATCACACAATATGCAGAGACAAATGTTAGCAATTCTCACTATATGTTAAAGAATCCTCGCTTAAATACATTCAAATGCCAAATCTATTTGAATAAAACACCAGTAAAATATAAATAGAGAACTAGAATTTACTTACCAAAGAAACCACATGCATGGACGGTCCGCAGAGCAAGCAATGAAACAAGTCTGATATTTGCATTAAATATCCAAAAGACAGCAAATACGGCCATGGTCAAGTTATGTCCACCCAATAAACTAATTTGGTTGAGCCGCCTGTAGCACAGAGCTGCTAACAGAGAGGACAGGAAGCTAACAGCCACACGGTTTCACTACTGCATAATGTGAAGTGAGTCTCTCACTGAAGTTGGTTCACTACAGTTACCGTACTTCCGACTTTTTTCTCAGAATTCTGACTTTAATCTCAGAATTCTGACTTTAATCTCTGAACTCCAAAAAGAATTATCATGTGGCCCTAATCCTCTTCCGTAAGAATCAAATCACAATTGCAATGTGTGTCAAAATACACAATTATATGCGTTTATATAAAAACAGTCCTAAAACCAGACAAGCATTGAGAACAAGTTGTGCTGTAGTATGTATTTTGGATTCATGATATATTTATATTAACAAAATGAAATCATACTCACAGGTCCGGACAAACTCAGGATTGCTGGCTTCGCTTTTGCATACATCGTTGACGGCATAAACAGTGTACGTGTAAAACTGACCACAGCCAGTGTTAGTGAATAAACACTTGCTGTCTGCCGTCCTGCACTCAGTTTTATGGCCACTTTTGTTCACAGCCGTTGCCACATAGTGTTGGGTGTTGTTGGTGGGCTGCCAGCTAAAGATGATCACATTGCTCGAACAATCGTGACTTGTCTCGGGATTAGCAGGAGCACAGGGGACTGGGGAAACATTTTGACAAAGAACAGTTATAAGAACAGGGAATAAAACGGTTTAAAAATGTTCAAAATCTGCCTGGATGTCATAAAAGAAGTCCAGTTATGCAGAATTGAGTGGAGTTTATATTGATCAGTATTTTGTGACGCACTGTATTGTTTTAAAAATGAAGTATTCACAGCAGATTCACAGGCCACAATTCACCTCCTATTGTTCAAAGGTCGTCAAATAGATACAGATATTTTACTCCTATTGTAATTTCCCTCTTTGCAGCATTCAACACTTCATTGGAGTAAACAGGCAATTTTGCTGTGTGTGCGTGTAGATATTTCCCTAGGCGGACTGTATATGGTTTGTCTCCTTTACCTTTTCACTCAGACTGACGTGAGAGCTGACCTTTGAGATAAGTCCTTGACTTAATAGACTCTAAAGACACTTGACCGACTGGTGTTGGATAGCTGGTCTTGGTGGCAAAAGAGAGTGTGTGTTTCACCCCTCAGCTTGAGAAAATCCTAAAGGAGACAATGGGAGGAACCTAATCAGCTTCCCTAGAGGATGAAGTTATGGGGAAATGTTGTGATAAAGAGCTTTGAATGTGTCCTGAACTGTGAGTGTGTGTGACACTGAGAGGTAAAATGAGAAGGTGTGGATATGTAGGAAACATATACAGACATGTGATGAGGCACAATGAAAGGGGGGGACAATACATACATTCACAAGGAAAGTACAGACAAATATAAGCCATCTTTTGTAGTTTACACAAGAGCAGGCCTACCTGTCTTGAACGGGGAATGGACGTTGGAGATGCTCTCACAGTCGTCTGAGATGGCTGTTACATGGACCTGGTACTCCTCACCACATTTGAGCATGGTGATGTGGCAGCTTGTGGAGGCCGATGTGCAGTTAAGGGCCGCACCAGTGCCATCAGTGGCTGTTGCCCTGTACAAGTCGGCCCCGAATACCAAATCCCAAGTTACTTTCACCAAGCCTCTCGTGCAGTTGTACTCAGCTGAGACTGTCGTCACCGGGTTAATAGCTGAGGAAAAATGTGTGAACAGATGATACAGGTTTTCAGAATATGTTTCAGAACATTGTTTTATAGGAACGATTCTGCCTGCGTGAAATGTAATGCTTAAGGTTTTAAGATTCACTAGACCAAAAACGTATATCTTGTTTTGTGTGCCTTCATAAGAGGTCGAACTGGGTTAATTAAGGTCACAAGGTTACTTTTTAGTCAACAAAATTATTATTTGTTCTTGTATAGTCCATATAACATATGACGTATATATATAAAATACTTATAATCTGGTAAATTCCAGATTTGTTATCTTCATTAATGGGCAAGCTCAGATTTTGGAAAGGGAAGAATTATATTATATATCCTTTTATTTAACCAGGTAAACACTCATTGAGATTAAAATCTCTTTTTCAAGAGCGACCTGGCCAAGAAGGGCAGCATGAACAAAGTTACAACAGATAAAACACAGACAATACAGGCAGACGAATACAGCGGTCATAAAACACAAATGAAATGGCACATTAACCAGTCAATATGCAAATAAAAGAAACTATTACAAATCAGTAAAAACTGGCACAATTTAAAACGACTTCAATTATAGGATATACGAGCAATCACATCGACCAATAGATTCTTGTTCTCTGTCCTTTAAGATGGACTTGAATTCCCCCATAGTGATACAATCTGACAGTTTCAGCTCCTTCTGTATATTATTCCAAGCATAAGGGACAGCATATTTAAAAGCTTTTTTTACCCAGTTCTGTTCTCAATTTAGGAACCAGCATCTGAATAAATTCTTGGGAGCGCATATAGACTGGAGAGAACCAGCCCAAGAGAGATTTATATATATATATATATATATATATATATAACCCAACCAATGGGAAAGTCTGCGTGCAGACAAAGATGGCCAATTAGCAGCAGCATACAAAGTGCAGTGGTGTACACGATATCCATATCCAGTAACAAAACGTAATGCACAATGGTACACAGTATCCAAACTCTTTAGGCACTGGTCAGAGGCATTCATATAAAGCAGATCACCATCATCCAAAACCGGTAAATCAAATGATCAAATGTTTCCTTGTCTGAAAGGAGAAACAGGATTTGTTTCTGTAAAATAAACCTTATTTTATTTTTAGCTTTGAAACAACATTTTCAGTGTGTGACTTGAAAGATAAGTTCTGATCAATAATAAAACCTAGATATGTGTATGAAGTGACTCTTTCAATGTCAGTTCCTTGAACAGTACAACTCTTAGGGAGAATAGAAGTTAACTTTTTGCCATTTGAGAATATCCTGAGTTTGGATTCGTCTGCATTTAATACTAACTTGAGTTGAGATAAATGGGATTGAATAACATCAAAGGAAGTTGGGAATTACCCCTTTATACTTAAGTAAGGTTGTAGTCGGTCAACACAAAACAAAAAGGGCAAGTGCATCCATTCTGCTGCTAAGATACTCACTAGAGGTGTTGTATGTAACAGCAGAGGGCTCCCCAGGAACCATGAAGCCGTTGAGTGATGATACTCCCACTGTGTATCTGGAACAGGGCTCCAGATCACTGATGTCCATGGTGGTTTTTGCGGTGCTTCTGATGACCGGCTGATCGCTGGGCTTGTCGTTGTCACTCACGGCCACTTGATAACGCAAGACTTTACTAACAGTGTTCCACATCACTCGAGCTGTGCTCTTCCCCGTCGTATTTATGGACACTCCTGTTGGTGGCTGTACCACTACCAGGAGAAAATACAAGTTTAATCTTATGCATTTTTTTATCCTCAGTCATGTTTGTATACATCCCAACTGTAAAGGATTTGCTCAAACATAACACGCTGTTTAGACATTTTTTTTGAAGGAACCTTGATTCTGATCCGCATTACAAAAATGGAACCCTCTGAAAAACAACAAAACCAGCATTTCATTTGCACTTACACGTTGTGATTGTCCTTGTATTACTTTTGGCCCCTCTTCCGGCGCTGTTTAATGAGTAGACGTAACAGTTGTACGTTGTAGAAGGAGTTAGGCCGTCCATTTGTCCAACTGGGCCTGTGAAGGTCTCGTTGTATTGTTTTGGGGGATCAATAATCAACTCTGTCACAAACAAGATGTAGCCGTCTGCCCCAACCATGCTAGACCACTGGAACTTTATAGATGTACTGGAAATAGCTTGTGAAGAGGTGATCTGAGAAGTGGCTGGCACTGTGGGAATGAAAGATAAAGACATCAACATTATTTAACAAAGTTGCTTTTCAGTTTCATTTATATGGTAACTTTTTTAAGTGTTTTCTTTACCTGTCTTAGTGGTTTCAAAGCTAGTGCACACCACATGGTTGTATTCGAAGACCTTCAGTGTGACTTTATAGTCATGTCCGGGTTTCAAACCGTGAATCAGCCTGTTTGTGCTTTGCTGCCACACCACCACTGGGGCGATGCTGGTGGAGTTCACAACCCTCAGGTCCAGTCTATATACCGTAGCTCCAAGGTAGCTGCTCCATATCACATTCAGTGTTGAAGCTGAAGGAGAAGTCACTGACTCTATACTACATCCTGAACAAAGAAAGAAAAGGAATAATATCTGTCTAGGAATATCATTTTCATTGCCTTTTGAGATGAAAGGGTAAAATAAAGTTAATTGAATCCGTGAATTTTACTTTATTTAACTATAGTGTTGTTTTTTGTATTGGCAGGAATATCAAACCATGGACTATTGTGAGTGAATTATATCATTTTGTGAATAACCTATATAATATATTTGGTTGTGATAAATATTTTCTGTGCTAAAAACGTCCCACTGCTTGCTCAGAATTCAGGCACAGATCTTTTTCCATACCCTTACCCTTAAGAAACATGTTTAAGAAGTTGTGGCACTAATGAACACATTTACGGTAGGAGTGAGTGGTAAACGGGATGTCTTTTACATATAAAGCAGTGGCCCTCTAGTGGTGAGCAGCAGCTGCTTTTATTTTCAATTAATCAAATCCTCTGTCCATACAATCCACCTCAAGCTTTTCAGTTAGCAGCAGTGTTTGTATGTTGGACGTGAAACACTTAATCACATTATATTGTCTTTAATTGATCAGTTTAGTTAATATCTTCAATTTTTTACAATAGGGTTCGTATATATTTATTATATATATTTTGCGAAATGGGCAGGTAATATAAGATTATTTTCTTCTCCCTGCTCTTTTTCGGGTATGGTGTGTTTGTAGAGACATGTTTTGTAAATAATTGTTATACATTAAGTTGTGCATACCATGCACGGAACAAATAAAAATGAATGAAATTAGGATTTGGGTGAATTAAATATGTTTGATTAATTTCTAAAATGGTTTTGATCAAAGCTCCAGTTAGAATAAGTTATACATTATTAAATATAACAGAAGAATAGATGACTATATGAAGATTCACTGTGATGATATTTAAATGATAAAGCTATTGAATAGGAACATTCTTATCAATATCTCGAACTATCCTGCCATCTCGGTGATGAACAAAAAAAATGTAATCTGTCAGGGTCTCTGCTCACATCAATACTATCAGCAAAACAGAACACTCACCTGTTGCCAAAACATGTTGTGTCTAAGGAAAATAAAAACATTGGACATTAAAATATGAAAAAACAAGGATGAAATTAAAGCAAAACAGAAACGTATTTATATACAATGAAAAGCTTAATTACCTGTATGACAGACAAAAGGATCACTGAATAAAACATCCATATCATATCCATTGTGATTGTCAGAGTTGCAGTGCGTTACTGTACATCCATACAGTATGTGGGTTCTTCACACTGCATCTCATCTGCAATATTTAACGGCTGAGAGTCGGAGATCAACTTTATGGGAACCAATCAGGACAGCCTAAATGAGGACAGGTGAATGCCTTTAGGCCCCCTGCCATCATGAGAAGGAAACAATGTTCGGTGTACTGTAGATTAGGATTCTTTGAAACCCCCCACCCCCTGTTACGCTCAATCTACACTTCCTCCATCTTCCTGGAATATCTTATTTTGGTATCTCTGGAGACTTTGTCTGACCAACATCGCTTAGAAGGTGAAAATAAGCACCAAACATGACAAGTGATTTTTCTCTAAATATCCAAACAAATTTCGCTGTGTTTTTAGTATAAAGAACAGAAAGTAATACGACCCCCTTTGTATGACATAGGAGTCATAGTCCCCCCTTCTAAATCCGGGATTTATGTAATTCTTCTCGGAAATGTTTAATGTTGTCCATTTTTTAATAAGAACCTACTTTTTTGGACTGGTTGCCAAGTTAACAAATATGTAGTTATTATTGTGTTAATATCTTGGTTTATTGTTTTTGGAATGAATTCAAAATGAAACATTGGTACATAACTAAGTTTGTTTCGTTGAGATTCAAAGATTCCAATAAGGATCATAAAGTCTTAACATAAGATCGATTTCTGGGACACATGTTAGTGAAACCTTCAGCACGTTTCATATCATGTCATAATCTTTAGACGGATCACAAATGAAGCTCCAGTTTCACCCATTGTGTGGAATTATGTGAAAACCTCACTTCTCGTCTACTTGTAATATAACACTTATATTTCTCACTCCATGAATAGTGGACCAAGACACTTACACAGTTCATCATCACTGTGAAATGACTTTGTTTCAAATATATGCTCGTAAAACAACATTTTATAATTCATTTTATACTGCATTGTATTGTTGCAAAGAGACACATCCTTAGGCTGTTACCTAAAGATAAAGCCATGAGTGTTACATGACAATAAGAACGCCTCTTGTCTTTCTAGATCAGTGGTTCCCAACCTGGGGGGCGCGCCCCCCTTGGGGGGGCGTCAACAATCGCAGGGAGTGCGCCAGGCCTCAGATGATTTGAGGCCTAATATCATATTTAGATTTTTTTTTTTTTTTTTTTACATATAATTGTTACACAATACATGATTGTATACATTACAATAAACGTATACAAAATAATTAATTTTAATAAAAATTCAAGTTAGTAGCTAATAAAGGCATAAAAAGACAGAAATGCATACTTTTTTCTATAATAAATAATAATAATATAATATAATATAAATGTTTCTTCTGCGCGTAAGGTATCCAAACCGGGCTTGTCTGGATAAGCGCATTTTTAAAACATAGTCATTGTCCATGCCGGTTTCAGTTGGATTATTTGTCACAGTTGCTCCGATCAGATCGGTCTCCTCCATTTTGTGGATTATTTACGACTTTTGAATCCACATGAACACATCGGCAAAATCCGGCTTACTTTGAGCATGTGTTTTAAACAGTTTAATCCCTTTGCGAATTTTTTACACTTGCGCCGTCATAATATGAATTTCTTCATACAGCGGGAATCCAAATGAATTCATCCTGAGTCCAATAACCATCAAAGTCACTCCAATAGTGCTCCTTAAATACGCTTTCATCCTCCTTTAACAAAATACGTCACATTCATCCAGTTTGTGACAGTAGTTGTAGCATTTTGAGACTCATAAACTCTAATTACCGCTGTTGCCTTGTCTGTTGCACCCCCCCCCCCTTGTGTGTGTGTGTGTGTGGGGGGGGGGGGGGCGCAACTTCCAACAGGTGTAATTTGGGGGGGCTCTCGGGAAAAGGGTTGGGAACCCCTGTTCTAGATGATTCTTAACTTCCCCATAATCCTGATTGACAGTCTTTGCTGTAAAACAGGATTAATAGCACAATTTGCTCAATTCAAAAGAGCTGGAATTCGAGTGTATTTTATTAGTATTAATCAAAGTCAATGTTTATTTGAATATGTGCAACTCAACTTCAAAGCCTGAGAGTTAACGTGATTTATGCAAACAAATCATTCATTGGTGTTTTAAAGAAGTCAATAATAAGCAGCCTATTGACATTTAGTCTTTTACTTATAGAGTTATCATCATCATCATCGTCATCGTCATCATCCAACCTTGCAATGCTTGTGCAATAAGTTCAATCAGAGACGGTTCAGTCACACAACTTTCCAGTGAAAGTGAGTCCATCCGGTCTTCCATAACATTTCCCCTGAATGATTAAGACCTACTTCAGGAAGTTTCTGGTTTATCTTACGGGACTGAATATAGCTCCTGTATCCAACCCCCCCGCACCTGAACAAAACATATTTGACTTCATAAAGAAAACGGACACAAGATGATTGACAGCACACAGTGTTGTAATGGTAAAACTTTATTATTTTCGTCTGTCAACGGAGAGAAAACAAATCCAATGATAGCAGAAGTAACACTGAATCCATCTCCAGCAATCGGATCAGACGTATCTTCCACATGGCATGCATGACTCCGGGCTATCGAGATGGATACCTGCTGCCCCACTTTGAACTGACCCTCTCCTGCTCCAAAGCCCACAGACATGTCGTACAGCACCGTGTGGAGGCCCTCTACTTGGAGAAGTCCTAGGTTCTTGTTCCAAATTCATTTAGTGTTTGAATGACTTTTGTCGTGTTACATTCACGTGGGAGGTTCACTGTTAAGCTTCTATTAAAATAGCTTATTTAACATTTACTGTTGAGGTTACACGAAGATTCATTATGACAGGGCAACTGCATTGATTAAAACATGAAGATAAAAATCATGGCTATTATAAAAAGTAACAATATGGAGAATATTTTTCAGAATCATTGGATACACTTCCAAAGTTATCTATTTTAAACCCATCTTTCATATATTTCATTGTTTTCAACAGTTTAACATTCTCTATAAGGCATTTTTTCCAAACAGCAGTAACACAAAATCTGGATATTCTTTTACAAGAGTGAAATTCCATCGGGGTGGATTGGGTCTCAACAGTTGTTGTTGGTGTAAACAGTGTTCTGTCTGTGCCGAGTATTGACGGTAATGGGGTGGGGGGTGTTCACCGAAGGGCTAGAAAGATAAGAGAGAGAGAACTGATCAACCTGGACTTAGTGGAAAAGGTGGTTATTGCCAATAGGGCTGTGCAATAAATCAATATTATATAGATCTAGATAAAGAACTAGATATTTTGGATATCATTAAAGTGTAATATGTGTTGTCTTTTCCTGGTTTTAAAGGCTGCATTTCAGTAAATTACTGTCATTTCTAATATTTATTATTTGTTTTCTAAGTCATTATATCCACATACTGTACCTGAACATATTTTATGAAAGCACCAAAAGTCAATCTTACGATATCTTTGCAATATCAAAATCAAGGTTTTTGATTCAAAAATATTTAATATACTCCATCGTCGAGGCCTAATTGCTAATATGTCATCATAGCTTCCGTACTTATTCATCACACTCAATAAGTGGATGTTTTGTGCAATAAGAACATTCTTTGTGAAACGTTAAATGCTAAAAGTAGAATACAGCTTAGTCATACTGAGTCAGGGGTTATCAAATATCCCTCATCTTATCTAGTATCACAAACACAATATGATGCTCGTGTGACGATCCTGCAGCATTTCTCCATCTTAATTTACCTTGGTCATTCATCCCATGTTTTATGGACTCGCATAAATCCCAAAAGTCCCAGAAGGAAAAGACGTATAGAGATCAGCCTCACCTGTGCTTGTATTTATGCTATATCTTCTACTTAAACACGCCTAATGTTATACCAGCACACTATAGGCACAGTCAATTTTAAGATGCTTGAGATGCTGTCACTGGATACCCTGAAGCTCTAAGGTATACCATGGATGCGTTCTGTGAAAGCAGCTTTCATCAAATTCTTTCACACATTTTCACAATCTAGAAAAACACTTCACATGTAGGGGAAAGCAAGTTGTTTGTCTCATGTCGATAGATAACTCCAAACGTCTGAAGACATATTGTTCTTACCCGGAGGGAGATGAGTAACGATACATTTACCGCAACTAATCCACACTTCGTCTTCCGCGAGAAATCACTTAAGGAGAGAGATACAGTTTCAGTGCATTAGCCGTTTTCAGACAAATGAATGAAAGGTGACATTAATATATTGACATTTTGATGAATGAGAATATTCCCATCCCCCCCCCCCCCCCCCTTTCTAGATCATAATGTCAATGCAACTCTCATATCTTATCTAACTCTTATCAAGATGCAGATAACAGAATGGTAATCTATTCCTTTCTTTTCTGCAAACTAAAAGTGAAGTTTATAGGATACTTACGCATGCCAGCATGATTTCCTGGGCAGGGAACTGAGAATATAATAAACATTAACGCATTAATGAAACTTGTAACCACAAATGATACGAATAAACAGGTGATTTATACATCTTGTTAATGCTGCATGCACTTCATGACTCACTGGAGTATGTCCTCGGTTGACAGAAGCTGACTTTGATCCCGTCCTGTCCCACTGGTGCCGCCACTACTTTGTAGACGTCCCCACACGTTCTCTCCTCGATATCGCAGTGTTTGCTGCCGGCAGCTGCGGTGCAGGTGTAGTTGGCTCCCGTCCCGTAAAGGTCTACTGTGTGGTTGTGAGTCTGAGGGCCCAGAGAGCGCCAGGACACCCGCAGGGAGTAGCTTCGCATGCGATAGAGCTTCAAACTTGTCGGACAACAGGCACCTGCACGATTGAGTTATGAGGAATAAAGTTGTTCATGTCAAACACATACTGGTTTTGTACTGTTGACTACATTGCTACCAAAAAGTATTTAAAGGTCTCCTATTATGCTATTTTTAGGCATATATTATGGGTCTCGGATGTATAAAAATATATAAAAACATGTCTGTGATGTGTTTTGCTCAAAATACCAAACAGATCTTGCATTTTAGACATCCCTCATATCCCTCTATTTCAGCCCTGTTAGAGAACTGCTGATTTTGGGTCCTTAGCTTGAAAAAAATAAAAAGAGGAGGGGGAGCTAATGCCTGCTCAGAATTCTACCGGCAGATACCGGTAAATTCTGCCGTGGTTAAACGCCATCATGTTCCAAACCACATCAAGGATTATTTCTGAAACGGTATGGTGCTCAAATGCTTTTTCTCTTGCGGGTTTACCACAAGGTGAGTTACTTTTTTTATTTCCTGCTTTTTTACACATGTGCGCTCTCCAGTACTGGTTAGCTCTGAGTGTTAGCGATGCTTGCTAATGTAAACAAAGACCATATTACGTCCAAAACACGTCAGGCATTGTTTCTGATAGCAACTTTCTGCTAGTGCCGTGGGTCCACGACGCAAATCTGGATCAGCTCCGTTGTACCCCCGTTTTTAGAGATTTGGGTACGGAGGAAAAGAGAGGGTTTTGTTTTCTGACACTTTGTGAGTTCCCTGACACACCGGGGACACATATTTATGTATAAAATATATTACAAAGTGCATTTTGCATGATAGGTCCCCTTTAAACTTGTGTGTGTGTACATGTGTGTATTTGCCCTTACCTGATGAGAATCCATAATATTTGCACTCTGACTTGTGTCCTGTGCTGCTGATGGCTTCCAAGTGAACACTGTAGTCGGTGCCACAGGTGATGCATCCCATCAAGCAGTGGGTGTCCAGAGTGTGGCACTTAGCGTGTCCTCGTGGAGACGTCAGGGAGGTGACGTAGGAGCGAGCGCTGCTGCCCAGTGACCAGGTCACGTTTGTCATAGCCTGGGTCACCTGGGTTACATTTACATATGTGGGGCAGCAAGGACCTTGGGGAGTAAATAATATAGCAATAATCAAGACCGGAGTGAAGATACTGTTACATTATTTATTAGTGACTGTAACTTAATATAATTACATTTCTTTTTGTATTTATTTTTAGGTCTGTTACACAAACTAGCGACTAGCCAACAATACCTTTTTGATCTCTTATTATTATTATTATTATTATTATTATAAGAAGCCTATTTTAGCCTAGCTTATGATTACCAGCAGGATCAGCATTTAACTCTAAATTCTGAGCTGCCAATTAAATGTTTTCATATCTTTTGCCTTTGTGGATTTGTTTTCTTTCTTTTTTATGATAACTTAAATCGTCAAACATTTTTTAAATGGTTAGGCTACTACAATATTATAACAAATCCTACCTGTTTCCAAGGTTTTACTGAATCCAGGAAGACTTCTCCCCACAGTTGTGATGGCCACTGCAATGACGTCATATGACGAACCACAGGGCAGCTGTGTGAGCTCACAGGACGAGTTTGTTGTCTGGCAGGTGTGTGTGGCAAAGCGTCCGGTGGCTTTAATGGTGTAATTTGTGTTTGGGGTGTTAGGCGTTGTGATGTGGATTCTGTATGTGGAGTTGTTGCTCTGAGTCATATTCAGGATCTCTGGAGCACACGGAGCTGTTTTCATATTAAAAAAAGAAGAGATAATGCAGCGTGAGTGAGATATTTTTTTAAAGAAACATTGACATTTTGGGGAATATGATAACACTTCATTCCAAAGAGTCATATGAGATGATTGATACCACTATGGGTGTATCAGGAGAGCTAGATACAGCATTTAAGGAATCAATTATACTTCTTCTGGGTATAATATGTACCTGAATTTTCCTCAACTTTAGGTACACCATTTAATAAAGGGCTATTTACGTTTTTTGTACTGATATACCTTTAAGAAAAAAGAATGCAGAGGGACCCGAACTCCACAGTTTGGCCACTATCTTAAATAGACTTCAAAACCAGGCTCTGTTTCTTTAACCAGTTGTCTTTATACATCCATGGTAGAACATATCAGTTATCAGTTTCTGCCTTTTTCCAATTTGTGTGCAAAGCTAACCAGCAGCTGATAGTGGCTTGAAAGAAATGAAAGTAGAATCAATCTTCTCATTTAGTTATGACAAGAAAGCAAAAAGTACATCTTCCCCAAATTTCAAACTAGCATCACTGTGTTATGCCTTAGCTTATATTTTAGGTTTGTTTAGCCCATTTCAAAGACTTCCCTGGGTTCCCTCTCATGAGAGCATGTGTATTTTAGGAAGTGGGATGTCACTCTTAATAGCCCCTTTAATACCTGTTTTTTGTGTGTGTGGTGTGCAGGTGTGGTTGCATCCTCGTAACTCGCTGCAAGGTGTGACGGTCACAGAATAAGCTGTGTCGCACTTCAAATCTGACAGCGCACACACTGGAGCTGTGTCGTTACAGTGGATGACATCATTAGTCTGTGCCGCCATGGTCTGGTACAGCTCGGCCCCTTTGACCGGCAACCAATTGATCTCAAGGGTCTCTGTAGAAACTAGCTGTATGGTAACACCCTGTGGGCAACAAGGAACTGGGGAGAGACGGGGAGAAGAAATTCAAAAAGAGATGAGAACATTAATCAACATTTATGCTATACAAAGTATCATATTGCTGATTTCAGATGTTATTAAAAATGTTTTGAAACTTCTAGGCAGGCATTGTTTTTCTCCCTGTGTGAAACCTAGGTAGTTTATAATCTTCACACTGCTTTTTCTCAAATGTGTCTTGTCTACAGT